CCGCTACTCCACCTCCCTCCTTGACACACGCTGCTCTCTTCCTCCTCCTCTGTCCCTCTGCCTTCACCTCAGCACATGCCACCCTGACCTTGTAAGTCCCCTCTCCCTGACCCCACTTCTCTCTCCACTGACTTCCTTTTCTCAGAGGCATCCACCTTTCCTTCAGTCTCTGTCTTCGCCCTCCCCTTTGCAGCCCGGCTCCTTTCTCCTGAGCAGCTAATCCAGCCTAATTCCAGGGATCCGCTGTCCATGTGTGGGCCATTTCCTCCTCCTCGAAGCTCTCTCGCTCTCCATGGCATTGCCCTCCGAGTTCTCTGCCCGAGCCCCTGACCACTCCTCTTGGCTTCATCACAAGCTCGTTTTCTTCCTCCCACTCCCTAAACTCAGGCTAAAGTCCTCAGAGGACAGCTTGAAGCAGCAGCCAATGGGCTGCCTCCCAATGTACTCTTCCAGGACTCTCTAAGGCCAACAGGACAGGATCAGCAGTCCTTTAGGAGACACTCAAGCCGCCCCTGCTGCTCTGTCTCCACTCCAGGCAAATCTCTCTTGCTACCGTCACTCAGCACGTTTCCCCCAAGGACCTCAAGTCCAGCTCTCACCAGCACTGCTGCCTGCCTCTCCTGCCTTGCCCGATCCCGCTCTCCCCACTCTCCAGCTTCTCCCTGCAGCCTTCCTGAAACCCTGCATGGCTGTCTGGGGACTCTACTGAATGGACTGTCCATGCCACTCATTTGCTCTTTTGCTGTGTTGGTCTTGTTATTCAGTTCTCTTCCCAGGTGTGCCTGTCTCGTCTCTGCCATGCAGGCAGGAGCAGCTGTTTCGCTTTCAGCTGGCACGCCTGCTCCCCCAGAGCACCCATACGTCATGATGGCCGGCTGAAAAGTCTGCAGACATCTCAGCAGCTTTCCAGCTTGGGTGCAGGTAGAGGTGAAGGTGTCTCATCTATCCTGTGAAGAAGGTAGCCTGCAGGACTCCAGCTAGAGAGGTTGAGGACGCTACTGGATACGTGGGAGCTCAGAGAAGCAAGTCCTGTCCCATCAGCCTATTCCCACATGCTGGTTGGATAAGTCTAGAGAGACTGCTCAGGGATGGAGTCCAGGAAGAACCCCAAAGTCCAGGAGCCATGGCATGTCCAGAGGAGCAGCAAAGGAACCGTGCCGCCCCGTACTCTGTCCTTGGGAACTCCAGCGTGACACTTACCATTCTTAGTCTCTTTAGAATAATTTGGGGCACAAACCCTAAGTATCCTGGCAAAGGACACTTTCTTGGCTGAAACCCTCACGTCTGGCAGTTGGTCAGTACATGTTTGCTAGATGGGAGTGGTGTCTTCATCAATTCCTTGTTAGGTTCTGTGTGAGGATGATCAGCCCAATGGGGGACCCTGATGTGTACACTGAATAAATGTCATGATCATCCCCTAGGGCCAGGGAAAAGGCAGACAGAGTGCCTGCACCCATGAAGCTCACAGCCTGAGACCTCTGGGTTGAGCCAGTCTGCTTGGAGAGGGGCCAGAGGCCCAAAAAGTCCAATGTCTGTCCCAGCGATGAAGCTGAAGCTGGGACAGGTCCAGGCTGACCTCAGGGGTCCAGGGATCCCATAACACACACACACACGCATGCACACATGCACACACACATTATAACCAAGCACAGGTGGAGCACACATGAGCAGCGCAATCTGTCATGTTGGCCTGGGTGCCAGTTCTCACACCCGGAACAGCTGCTGTCCGTGGAAACTGCTAAGCTGTCCACTGACGCTATTGCAAAGCAGAACTCCTTTGCTGTCTCACAAATTAGCCCTGGGATATGGTGAGTCTTCCGCTGTTAAACTACCCCAGCTGGATGGCAGGGTGACCATTTTCGTGGGGGAATGATTGAGGGTTTGGAGCTGATCTCCAGCATCCAAACCCCTTGGCCCCCGAATCGGGTCGTTTGACAGCTCTTTTCACCTCGGCAATACCAGCTCCTGTCTTGCAGCCCAGGTTCCCCCAGAACCCCAAGCTCTGGGATGGAGGACCAGCCTGTCCACTCTTGAGGGACTTAAGACTTCTCCAGGATGCCAGTGCTGGGCTTCCATAGACCCCTTCTCTCCCTGCCTGCCCTTTGCCATGCAGTATGGACACTGCTCTTTGTGTCTGCTTGTTCCTCTCTGGCCCGGAAGCACTGGGGTGAGGATCTGCCCGATCCCTGCAGGGCCAAGGCCCACGGCAGGCCTGCTTCCCACCATCCTTCTGCCTCCCAGGCGGTGCTGAGCCCCAGAGCTCCTGCGCCTCAGGGACCACCCAGGAGCGGAATGGGGCCCAGAGAGGGATGTGGATCAGGACCAGTGTCCGTGTCTTTGACTCCAAATCAGCCATCTTCACAGCAGCCCAGATTGCTTCTTGGGGTCTGCAAGGGCTCTCCTGTAGAGACCCTGTCACTGGAGGTGTAGAAACAATTCCACAGATGGCCATTAATGGCTAAGACAGCCCGCAAGAGCTCCGAGGTGGGCTTGTCATCAAGGGCTGGTGGTAGCTGTGTGCCTCTTAAGGTTACATGCAAGAGAGGCCAGATGCCAGCGTGCAACAGAAACACAGCTTCCTGGAAGGCTGGGAGGGCAGGGCTGGCTGGAAGCAGGCAGAGTGGGCCCTGGCACTCGGCCCGGTGGGTGGGGGCTGTGTCATTCAATGGGTGTTTTCTTGTTTCAGTACCTTCCGGCCACCGCCCCTTTCTATCCTAAAAACATCACATCACCCTGCTTGTTTTGAGCAGGGGACCATGATCCTTTGCCAACAGACGTAATTGGAAGATTGGCAGGGCCTTTGGAAGAGCCTGGGAAGCTGGCCTCCCTCTGGAAAAGGCCTCTCTGGAAGGGGCCCCGCCCTGCTCTGAGGGGCACTTGGCTTTTCCCACTCCGGCGAGAAAAATCCCGTTTCGCCACAGATCCCAAAGCCAAATATTTGATGTTGGGCCTGCTGTTTCCATTTCAGGTGGAGGCAGCAGCTCTTACTGGCTGCTGGGCTGGACAGTGCGCTAGGCACCAAGCCCGCCCCTCCCCGGCTCTGCACCCTGAAGGGCCCTGGGGTGTCACGGGAGATCACTGAGGATTTCCAAAGAGCTGCCCTCTAATCTTGGTGGCTGGGAGTTCTGGGCCCCCCCGGGGGCTGCTGCTCTGAGCAAGGGAGGGAGATGAGAAGGGAGGGTGTTGCTTTTGGGAGCTATGGCCTCCTGCCAGCCTCCTGGAGGACACAGGTGCCCGCAGATGCTCATACACTCTGGCTCTTTTTGCCTGTGTTTCACAGGCTAAGGGGCGCTGTCTGTCTTCCTCCTCTGCATTTTTTTTCTTATGGCGTTTGTCTGGAATGTTGGTGGGGCCCGAACCACTCTGAGAATGTACAGCATCTTACCACCCTTGCCAAGGGCCGGGGCAGCCTGTGGCCTGCAGGCTGTGGTGACATGTGGCCTAGGAACTTTCCAGAACCTTCTGGTAAGAGGCTGCCCCAGGCCTGCAGACTGGGGAGGGGGGAGCTCAGAGATGTGGCAGCTAGGAGTGGGCCCTCTGTGGGTGAGGCTCCCCTCGCCAGCCAAGAGAACTCCCCAGGGTTGATTATAAGTTGTGTGGCTCATCCCAGACTGGGCAAAGCCATCAGGAAACACAGGCAGAAGGGGCCAGCCCAGAGGGAAGGAAGCTTCAGAGAGGCAAGGGGTATCCTAGCCTGGAAGTCAGGAGTGCTGGGCCCTGGAGCCCCCAACTAGGTGTGGATCTTAAGGAAGTCACTTCTGCACAGCACCAGCTACACCATCGGTGGGGCCCAGTGTTGATGAAAGCAGCGGGGGAAAGTCCCTTGTTTAAAGCTTACAAAGAATTTGAAGACAGCACCAGCCGAGAATGAAGGGAGTCCTGTGGACTATGTTTTCACACATCCTCCAAGCCAGCCCTACCTCTTTGGGTGTCAGTTTCCTGAGCTCTACCACGTGGAGGCTGTGTTCAATTGCACTTTGTCCGCACAGCCCTTTCTTCAAATGCACCCTCAGGCTCATGTGTTGCACAAACCGATGCTCTGGCTGAGCTGGCTGGGGGGGTCTGGGCCTCACCTCGTCGCCCCTATACCTTCGCCAGCAGCACCTGAGAGTATAGTTCAGAGCCCTGTAGATGGTGGCAAAAGTCATTTTCTGTTTCAAATTTCAGCAGATCATGAGAAGGCCACGGGCTCCTTACCGCTAGGACTTCGAGCATCTGCAGAGGCCACCACGGGACTGCTGAAAGGTTCCAAGAGGTACCAAAAATCCCCAGAGGGTCTCTGTCCCATGCCTGACTTCCAAGCCTGCTTCTACCTTAGCCTGAAAATGAGCTTCAGGACCAAGCATGCTCTCCAGGGCTGCAAAAAAGCCAGGCCCAGGAACAAAAAGGCCACTCAGCACCCCGGGGTCCTGGACAATGGGACCAAGTCTGGCTCTAATTTCCATCTCTGGAACTGGCTGCCAGGGTCACCGCGGTGATGACCCCTGACTTAAGGACAGGTTAGGTCCTTAAGTCTGCTCTGGCCCCCGCTGTTTTGTTCCTGCTCAGAGGACAGAGCAGATCAGGCAGGGTTGAAAGGGTGGGAAGGAAGTGAAGGTAGTGGAGGAGAATCCCAGGCCTAAAGGTGGCGGAAGGCTGGTGGGGCTGTAGGAGCTCTGGGATGGGTCCTCAGGGAGGGGATCCACAGGGTAAGGGAAGGGGCTGGTGACACCTTTCTGTGGGGATGGCCCAAGGGGTCAAACTTCCCTGGACTTTACATTTGCTTTGAGGGATGGAGCAGCGGCAGTGCAGATGCCACTGCAGAAAGGAAACGGGCGCTGCGATCGCGCTCCGTCCTCTCCTCTCTTCGTCGGGCCCCTGGACCCAGGGTTCCTCACTGTGCCCAGGGCCCTCGCGCACGCTCTCCGCGCAGTCCTGCCCGCAGGAAAAGCGCCCCCTGGCGCGCTGGGCCGGATGGGGGTGCAGCGGGTGCCCGGGTCTGGCCCCGCAGGTCCGCTTACCTTTCATGGTCCTTTCCGCCGGAGCCTTCGGAGGGCCCCGCGCGGGCGGCTGAGTCCGCGGTGCAGCCGGCGGGTCTTCCCCGGCACAGGGTCGCCCCTACGCCGACCGCGGGCGTCAAGCTGGGGACAGACGTGAGGAGGCGAGGGGAGCGGACGGCAGGGTCCGCGGGTCGCAGTGGGGACGCCCGGCCGGGCGCCTAGCGCCGCTGCCCGCCCGAGCCCGGCGAGGTCTGCGCCGCCCCGCGGCCCGCGCGCATCTCTCCCTCCCTCGCTCCTTCCCTCCCTCCTCGTCACTCCCTGGTTGCCAGCCCAGATCAACTTCCTCGCTATTTTCAAAACTGCCGCGGCCCCGCCTCTCTGCGAGGCTGCCGTGGGGGACACGCGGGGCGGGGCCCGGGGTCGAGATCCATCGCGGCGACCTCACCCCGGAGCCGCCTTGTGGCTGGGGACTGGGAGCCGAGACCCCGGATTTGAGCTCTGCACGTTTTTCTCCTCCATCTGTGAGGTGGAGGGACCGGGACAAGGAAGGGTTCTTGGGTTTCCAGCTCCAGCCCCAGAAGTTGGGTTTGCCCCGGGACTGCATCCGCGACAGAGGAGGACTGTTGGTCACCCCTGGGTCACCCTGGCGCTTCCCTGTGGAGCCCAGTGACCACGGGCACTCACTTTGTCCAGAGGAAACGGCCTCCGGGGGCTCCCAGATTCTACGACCCTGCTTGTGGTGGGGCCTCAAGTGTGACAGTGACAGCGGTCGGGAAGTGACCTCAAACAAGGAGCTGCGTCTTGTCATAATCGCTCCTCCTACATCCCTGTTCAGCCACTGAGCACAGCATGCTGAGTACCTGGTCCCAGGCTGTGCCCTAAACGCAGGGAAAGCTGAGGCCAATCACACAAGACCGGCCTGGTGAGGAACGGGAAACTAAACCAGCAACTGTACCCCGGACAGCGGTGGGAGGCAGGTTAGCACTGGAGGGTGCAGGGGCAAAGCGGGCCACAGGGAGGGGACCGCCCCACTTGGTCTCCGTTGCTCCAGTCAACCCCTGTTCCACACCATACACATCTCCCCACCCCATTCACAGCTGGAGTGAAGCGGTTGGAGGGCTGGGGAGAAGTTTTCTCCGTGGGCAAAGGACAGCCACCCTGTCACAACCCCCAGCAGATCAGAAAGATCTGGTGCTCAGTTGTCTCCAATGTGTCCCACCTGTGGGCAAGTTTACAGTTTGAGAAGAACCTTCTCAGGTGATCTCAGTAACCTTGAGGGAGGGAAGCCGGTGGTGGGGGGGTGCTGCCTACTTCACAGATGAGGGACCGGTTCCGAGAGGACACTGCCCTCCTGGTAATAGTCACAAGGTACTCCTTCGATCTTGTATCAGGATTCTGAGTCAGCCATATGAGCCTGAGCCTCCCAGGACCCTGGCATGGGTCTAGAGCTGCTTTGTGAACCCTAGAGAGCCTTTCTCATCAGTCAAAGGGAGCTTTGCCTGGGAGCATCTCTCACTGTGGCTCTATGAGATTAGCAGCCTCATTGCCTTCCGATTTCAGATGAGGAAGCTGAGTGTGGAGAGGCTAAAGGATGTGCTTAGAGGTCACTAGTAAGTGGCGATCTTAGGGTTGGAACCCAGGCAGGCCAAATCTGGCACATGTGTGCTCTACCGCAGAGACTACCCTGCCTCTGCTGACAGCAGCTCAAGTCTTTGTGCACTGAAAGAACAAAAAATGACTCTTGATTTTGCCACTCTTTTTTACCTTGGAGGGAAAGGGACCTCACCCTGGTATGAGGGGTGCCACTCCCACTGCTTCTCTGAGTCTTGAGGATATTTGGACCCTGGGCTGTTGCTATGGTCACAAAGATGAATCCACAAAGACCTGGAAACTTGCTTCGGGCTGCAGATGGGCTGTGGGTGAGCAGAGCAAGTCTCAGCCCTGAAGAGGTAGAGGATGAACTCCAGGTCCCAAGGGACTGTGGGGGAAGGGATCAGCTTTGTGGAGTGGCAGGAAAGGGCCAGAGAAGATTTAGGAGACAGCAGGGTCAAAGTACTTGAGTGGTGGTCAGAGCAAAGAAGACAGAGGAAGGAGCAGGGCAGTCTCAGAACAAGACAGGAGGTGGGACCCTCGAGGTCACCTAGCCTTTGGGGGACTACCTTCCAGTATACGAGGCATTTTCAGGCATGTCCTACCAATAGCCAGAGGGGTAGACCCAGGGTCAACCAGAAGTTCCCCACCACCCCAAAGACCAGGTCAGGGGGCTATGGGACCTGGTCAAGCTGGGACATCAGGGCAGAGCCACAGGTCACAGGCACTGGATGGAGTGGGGTGGCGAGGGGCAAACTGCTTAGTATTGTTTTTACCTGGAGCGCTGCCCATGCTGTAGGCAGCTGATCACCACACATAAGCTATGTGCAGTCAAAGGAAATGGCAAGAGAGCAGAGGCCAACTTGAGTGTGGCTGCACAGGCCTGTGATCTCAGCACTCTGGGAGGATGAGGCAGGAGGATGGAAAGTTCCAGCCTGGGGAATTTAGTAACTTAGCAAGACCCTGTGTCAAAACAAAATATAAATTTTAAAAGGGCTGGGGATTTAGCTAAGTGTGAAGGCCCTGGGTTCAATCCCCAGTACTGGGGGAAAGAAAGAGCAGAAGTCATTTTTTTTGTTTTGTTTTTTTGGAGTTTTTTGTTGGTACCGGGATTGAACTCAGGTCCTTTCGCTTGCAAGGCAGGCGGCAGAACCACTGAGCTAAATCCCCGGCCCCCAGAAGTCATTTTTAAAGGGGGAGAATTAGAAAATTGGAATCACAAGTGTGGCACTCTCCACAGATTCAGGAAGGTGGAGTCCACTGTCTAGTGTTCCTAAGCAATGCTGCCATTTATGCAGGGTATTTTGGCTCATGCCAGCACCCTGCTACAAGCTTCACAAAGGGTTCCTGAGGCATGGTTTCTCTTTCTACTTCAAACTAAAATCATCCCTCTTCCTCCTAAACCTCAGGTCCCCCACCTTTACCCACCCGCCACACAGCTCCTCTCCTAGAGCCTTCATGCGGCTCCTCTGCTTCTCCAACCTGGTTCACCCCGCCCACCAACTCTTCTCAGGGTGCAGGAACAGCTCAATACTGGGGAAATTGCTCTCTTCCTCTTAGTTGCCTAACATCATGGCCTTATCTGCAACCTCTCCAACCATGGTGTGGGAAGTAACAGGTCCTAGGCAGAGCTACCTAGAGAAACAGAGCCAACAGGATGATGTATATCCAGCCATGGCGACCCCTTGTCCTTGGGAATGCTCCCTAGGGGATGCCTGAAACCACGGATAGTACCAAACCCTGTGGATGCTATGTTTCTCTAGATACATATAGCTCTGGTAATCCTAATTTATATCAGGCACAGAAGAGGTAACAAGTAGCTAATAATAAAAGAGAACAGCTGTAAGAATGCATTGCGGTAAAAGCTGTGTGCATGTGATCTCCCTCTCTCAGAATACCTTACTGTACCGTGCATAAGTGCAGACAGGTAGCAGGCACAGGGACACTGGATAGAGGATGATCTAGCACCCAGGAGGGACGGAGTGCAGTGCTGTGAGAATTCATTACACCACTCAGAACTGCCTGCGGTTTAAAGTGTAGGAATTGTCTCAGGAAATTTTCGTTTAATATTTATGGATCACAGTTCACTGGAGCAGCTGAAACAATGGAAAGCAAACCCACAGAGAAGGGAGAGTTACGGTGTGTACCTAGACACATGCACACTTAGGTCCCTCCTCTTATATGTGCACCTCTCACTGCCTCTGCCCTCTGTATCATACAGAGAGTGTAGAGATGGCCCCAGATAGACACTGTGAGGAACCAGCTGCCATGATGGTGTGGGCCTGCAAGTCCAAGAGCACAGGGAGCAAGCAAAGCTGCTGAGGCTGAAGGCTGTCCAGACGACCCCAGGCTTTCAGCCTGCTTGTTTGTCTTGTTTTGAGTACTGGAATGGAACTCAGGAGGCACCCTCTGCAACAGTTACATCCTCAACCCTTTTTTTTTTTTAATTTTGAAACAGGGTCTCGCTACATAACCCCGGGCTGGTTTTGAACTTAGGATTCTCCTGCCTTGACCTCCCGACTAGCTGACTGACACCTACCTGTGTGTCACCACTGTGTCCAGCACAGTCTCTTGGTTTAACTACCTTTAGTCCTTTAACTACCTGCTGAAGCCTGCCACATCGTGACAGGTGATCTGTTTTACTCAAAGTCTATTGATTTAAATGTTACTATCACCTGAAAAAAAACCCTTCACAGAAACATGTAGAACAGTGTTTGATCAAATATCTGGCACTGCAGCCTAGCCAGGTTGATATAAAAAATTATCCTCACAAAGATCCTGCTCTGTTCTCTTCTCCTTGCTGATTTTGCACACTCTGGTTTTCTTTTTGGATTCCTTTGGCTTTTCTATCTTTTGGTTCCTACTATTCAGTGTATTTCCTATATTCTAAGAAAATGACAGTATTTGTTTTAATATAAAAATAATAATTTTCCTGGATTGGGTGTGGAAGGCACGGGATGCTGAGACGTGTGGCAGAGGATGATACTGCATTGGTATTTTTATACTATTTGATATTTTAAAATTATACAAAGTTCATTTAAAAATAAAAATGATAGTTTAAATGACTTGCAGACTGATGTGCTCCTGAAGAGGGAAATAGAATATAAAATATAATAAATATATAAAATAGAGCATAAAAATGTGATTACTTCAGAACTTAACGCAACTATAATTACAATATTATATTTCAACTAAGCAAAATTAATTTTAAATCCATACCAAAGAACTAGTGTCCAAGAATAACCAAGATCATTTGAAAAGGAAGAGTGAGGAAGACTACATTCTCAGTATTAAATAATATTTTAAAGCTACATAATTAAAATAATATCTCACATATGAATGAATAAGCAGAGGAACACACTAGAACATCCTGACACAGATTTCAGTTTACTTTTAAAAAATTAGGGCCAGGAATATAGCTCAGTAGTGTTGTGCCTGCCTGGCAAGCACAAGGTCCTGGGTTCGATTTCAGGTACCAGAAAAAAAAAAAAGGAACTTCACATATAAAAAATGGCATTTCAGGGGGCCAGGGATTTAGCTCAGTGGCACTGCGCGTGTGTTGCAAGTCCAAGGTCCTGAGTTTGATCCCTGGTACCAAAAAAATAAAAGGCATTTCAACTTGGTGTGAACAGGTGGCTTATCTGACAATCAAGGGGACACAACTGCTATGTACCTGGAAGAATATGAAGTCAGATCACTATCTCATTCCCCGGCAAATTTCACTTTGATTAAATATCTAAATACAAAAATCAACAGATTAGAAAGCTAGAAAAAATTAGAATCTTATAGCCAGAGGAAGGCATTTTTTGGCACAGGGAATCAAACTCAGGACCTTGCGCTTTCAAGGCAGGCGGTGGCACCACTGAGCTAAATCCTCAGGTGCCAGAGGAAGGCATTCTTACATTAAGCACAAAGTCTGGAAAATGTAAACAAAAGGATACAAATTTCACTTGCATAAAAATTTGCAAAAGCCTCCATAATGAAAGGCAAAAGGCAAATAAATGACAGTAAGAAAAAAAGACAACACACAAAGGGTTGCTTTCTCTGCTTAAAGAGCTCTGGAAAACTGATAGACAAAAATCACCCTATAAAATGAGTACACAGTACAAAGAGACAAGTCACAGAAAAGGAAATTTTAGTTAAAAATGAATAGTTGAAAATAGTGGGCACAGAAAGGGGTTGGCATAGCAAAATGTCATTTTTCACCCATCAGACTGGCACAGATTCAAGTCCAGCATGATGATCATGGGAATGGGCCTTAGAGACACAGAAACCCAAAAGCCAAGACACCTGAATGTTCAGAATATGTCATCTTTCTTATCCAGCAACTTGGTTTACCTTATATAGAGCAATGAAGTCACCAGGAAGATGGGATACAGGCAGAAGGTTGGTTTCCATGGTGATGCTTAGGCCAAAAGTGGATAAGGGGAGTGGTTGCATAAAGCATGTGTAGCCTCACTATGGGATCTCATGTAACTATGGAAAAGCATGGCATGAGGTCTTCCTATACATTGTATTGACCTGGACAGATGGCCATAATATTTTATTAAATGGGAAAGAGTAAGTTACAGCATGATACGGATCATATGATTTAATATTTATTTTTCAAAAGAACATAAAAAGGCAAAATGTTAATGTATATGTTTATTTGCAAATATAGATACGTATTCTAAATATAAATGTATGTATATAAATAGACATTCATTACTACAGATGCATGAGATTTAGAGAGGAGTTGAAAATAAGACAGATAAAGAAAGGAAGATCGATTTTCACTACATATTAGCCCTTTTCCCTAAATGTTTGGGGAAACCTGGAGCCAGTGAGTTCTGTGCCATTGTGTACTCCAGCACCTCAGCCCCAATCTGACCAGCACAAGAGCTTATCAGATTATACAAAAGCAAGCAGAGAGTGCCTCGGAGACGAAGGGAGCCCACGTCAAATCCCAAGTGGGAATCAAAGTCCACTGCCTTCGCACCTGGCCAGCCAGAGCTGGTGTCATGTGTTTGATCCGAGGGTCACTGGAGAGAGACAGTGACGAAAAGGAGTATCTTTGGGGTAAAAATGCAGAGTGAGGTATGTGGCAACTTCACTATGAAAATGAGTCAAAGAGTCTGTATGAGGGAATATATTTCAGAAGAAATGCAATTTTGATTTTTGAATATTTGAAGGGCTATCTTAGAGGAAGTGATACCATATCCTATATTGCCTGAGAAGTTCTAAGGAGGCCAACTTCAGCTCAAGATAAGAAAAAGCCTGCTAGGATTCCTTTGGTACCCCCAGCCTCATGTCTTCTGTAAAATGAGAATCATACCACATACTCTAAGGAAGATACAGAGGTTGTTGACGATCAGACAGAATAAAGCATAAACCACTAGTTTGTAACCCGAAAGCAACGCTCCTGAACTCTCTCTGCTTTTACTTGTTGGAGGGTCTTTAAAAAATCTTGATGCTGGCTTCAGTTTAATTCCATCATAACCTCTGGAGACAGGACTCAGGCATGGGTAATTTCTAGTGCTTCCCAGGTAATTTCATTGCATGGCCATTGTGGAATTCCATGGAGAACCACTGGCTGATGGGAAATCATAATTAGCTGGATTCTAGGTATGGCGGAAAAGTGGGTTGATTTGAGGTAGATCTGGGGAACAATTTTTCTTTTAAGGCTCATCAGTCTAACAATTAGAGCCGAAGGGTGGAGTTGCACATCTTTGAAGAGAAATACAGATCAGGCAGCCAGTCTTTAGCTTGAGTAATGGGGAAGTTAATTAAGTAACATTTGTCTATCTGTATGCACATGATAAGAAACTCAAGATTCACTAGCCTGGAACTTTTCCCCAAAAGATCCTAAGTGGGAAGATGCAGGAGATCAAGTGATGGAGTTTAAGGGGGCCCAGTAAAAGCCCTGATACCTCTGCATCAGCCCGGGGCTGGTTATGTCACTTTATTATATGCAATTTTATCATGGGCCTGTAATTGAATGAATGTACATGTTAAATAGTTACATCCTAAAGAATGATTCTTAATGCAGGCCGGAGAGGATGCTGTTCCTGTCCATTTCTAGTTTGTCCCAGTCATATTTGTGCTGGGTGAGCTGCATGCTAGTGGGGCTGAGCCAGGTCGTGGGAATGATGCTTGGCGTGTAACAAGGACACTGCATAGTTAATTGGCCCAAAGACAACTGGGCAGCCAGAGACGATGGGCAAGGCATAGAGAGGTTCACAGATAAACGTAAAGCTCTTTACTTGCTCCTCTGACCCTCAAGAACCCTTCCCTTGACACTGAGAAAAGAAATTCAGCTAAAACCCCAAAGCCAGCTGTGTAAATCTACAATGGGAAAGAAGTGACTAACCAGCAGCACCTGCCAAAATGGTGATGGACTCGGTGTGACTCAGCCAGTGACTCAGCATCTAGACAGAAGCTCATTTGGAGCGCTTAGGAGAAAGGAAATGGTGGGATGGTGCTCCTTTTCTGCTTACTGTGGTCAGGTTGTCCCTGGCATTGGCAGACCCAGTGCTGGGCTCTAGGGTTTCAAGAAAGGCAAGGTCCAGAAGGGCTGGGGAGGAGTCTGCAGATGATGACAAGGTGAGGAGCTACCACTCTGAGATCACTGAAGGAAGCAGGCTAAGCTGCCTTCAAATAGCAGAAGGTAATGGGAGAGATGGGTTGGATTTTCTCTGTGTGATTACAGAAGACAGAACGGGGCCTCCACACAAGATGCCCTGACTCTATCAACAGCTTCCCTAGGGAACAATAGCAGGATGACGACTTCCTCAGGGGTGCTGGAGTGGGTGTAGGATGGAGCTGTGTGTGAAGGCTCCACCAGCTGACTCTGGTCAAACTTTGTGCTTTTTTCCCCCTTAATCTTCTGAACCTCGTTAGAAGTAATCAAGTAATGATTCCCAGGGGACCCGGTCATGGCTGTGAATCACGCTACTTTCTTCTACACCTTCCCCCCTTCAGCTGACTAAGGCAGATCTTCCTGCCTGATGTCCTTATCCAACTTTTAAAAATCCAACTATCACAGATGTATTCCTCCTGTACCGGACGCTGGGGAGCTACAGAACAGAAAAGTTACAAGGAGCGATCTCAAAAACAATTCTTCTGACCCCAGGCATTGATATGCTAAAGAGGAGGCAGTTTCCAGAGAAAACGTAGCTGTTGCTGATAATTCCTTTTTGTATTTTTTTTTAAGAAAACAAAGCAAAGCCTCTTCTTGGGAAGAAGTCCTGCTCCAAGTTCTTGTTGCATTTTTTTCTTCTGAGCCAATGATCTTATGCTTGGCACTGTATCAAGTTATAGAAGGAGGGCTAAGAAATGATACATTCCAGATTGCTCCTTGTCCAGATGGGAGAAACTGAGGCCCAAGGGCAAGGAGACTGATTCAAGGTGCCTGGGACTGTAGTCAGCTGTCCGTGCACCAGCCAGAGCTGTCCCACATCTTTACCGGCCTGGAAGGTTTCTCCAGCCGTTTCCCCAAAAGGAAAGGGATCCCAGTAGCTCCTGGACCTTGGGCAACCAGAAGCTAGGTCTGCAGGCTGTTCCTCAACAGACAAGAAGAGGGAAACTCAGGCCCTGGCCTCACCACTCTCTGTTAAGCTCTTTGCTCTCATGTGGTTTTCAGAGTCTGTCCTGGAAAACCAGGCTGCCTGTACCTGTGCCGTCCACCCGCCTGTCTCCCCTGCCTGGCAGTGCTCAGCTATCCTGGGATCCAGAATGGGCAGCTCAGCTTCTTCCCCAAGAAGCAGCTGCACCTCAAGGGCTTCTGGGTGGTCCTGGCAGGAGATGTTCCTGCTCTCAGTGGAAGGCAGCTGGGGGCGATTGAACCCTCCGGACCCAGATCAGCTACTTGAGGACCCAGGGTAAAACGAGCACCCCAGGCCTGGACTCCAAACCACTGAGAAGTTCAAGCCTGAGACAGCTGTGCTTTAACCAAGGGTGGGGTGGCACAGATCCCATGGCCATGAAGCCACCCTGCTTCGTTGGGTCCCCAGGTGGATGGTGATACTTGTTTAAGCTGCATGGATCACAGATCATGCGTCCAAGAGGGGCCTTCTGGTCCCCCAAACATAGGCTTTTCTGTTTCCCCCTGGCCCAGCAAGTCTGCCCCCAGCCTTCACCCCAGCCTGACCTCTCAGGGAGTGCGCACCTTCTCCTACTTCTCACCCCAGCACTTTGCCCCTGGGCAGCTCACCCTCATTATTTCTGACACTCTGCTATTTAAATGAGACGAGGTAAGTGGAGCATGTGTAATGTGAAAGATTCATGTTCAGTAGGGCCGCAGGACCGTGAGATTGTTTTTGGTACTGGGAACCAGCCAGGATGGAACGACCCCCCCCCCAACCCTATGAAGAGGGGTGCCCCACAGGCTCTCCCCTCCTGGGGCACAGTCCCCAGCTCTGATCCCCTGGGGAACCCTGAGCAGAACCAGACACACCAAAGGGTCCCCCTCCCGCCCGTGGGGACGGGAAGGCCATTCGCGGTGCGGAAGCGCCCCCCGGTGCCCCCCGCCAGGCGCTGCACCGCACCCCCTCCTCTCCTAGCTTCCAGAAAGCTCCCGGTGCTTTCCGTGGCATTCTTTGGGCCTGAGTCATGCAGGTTTACAGCCAGCCCCAAAGGGGGTGTACGCGAGCCGAGCTCTATAAATACAGGGCCTCAGCGAGCTCACCACCCTGCGTCGCCGGGAGGAGCGCACGGGAGCTGGAGCCGCGGACCGGTGAGCTGTCCTTATCGTCCCAACCCCTGCGCAGGCCCACAGCGGGCCCTGCTGATCCCCCTCCAGGTGGGGAGAGGTGACAGCTCCACGGAGCCCCCGGGGAACCCGGGATGGGAGGTGGCCGGAGCCCCGTCACCCGGCGGCTGAGCCTGGGACCGAACTGCAGGCGACTGCGCGCAGGCCGAGACGCAGGAGTCCCCGTGTGCATTACCTCCACGCAGAATTTTACAGCCGTCAATCGGCAGGGGGTACAGATCCTGCTTTTGGAAAAACGGGGAAATCGAGACCCGGAGCCTCATGCGCGTGGCTGGAGCAGGCACAGGGGCGTGAGCGGGGGTGCGCCTGACTGAGGCGCCCCCTTCAGCTCTGCGCCCCGGGGTGCTGATCCCCGCGGGGGCTGGCGGCTGCGTGCATGAGTCATGCAGTTTCTCCCATTTCTCCAGCAAGTGGGTTATAAATATGATATTGTGGATTTAAGTATACATTGCAGCCACCTAAATCCTACTTTGTTTAATGCACTCGGGTGCATTAGGGAGAAGTCACACAAGCTCCCTCAGGCCTCAGCATCTAATCTGAAGCCTGGAGAGGGATAGGGTGTACTGACTCCAGCGTCAAACTGATTCCAGAACAGGGGTGAGAATGGGAGCCTCTTGACCTTCCAGAATTTCTGGACCTAGTAATTTTTTTTAATAAATTATGTTTATTATTTTTTTTTAAACAGAGAGGGTAGGAATTTAAGAATCAGTGTAGATATTACAAAAGGATGCTCATGAGACTGCAATTTAAATGCCCAGCTTTTAGAATGGTAAGAGTCTGGTACTTCGGTGAATAGAATGCTGTACATATGCCACGAAAGGGCACCTTTAAAGAACATTTGAAGACGGGATGTAACAGATATGATTGTATAAAAATGCACAGGAAGTAGATGGTCACATACGGAAAGGAGAGGCTGGGGAAGGGAGGTGCTGGACCCTGGCCGGCTTGGGCACTGAAGTGCCCGAGGGGAAGCAGTCTTCAGAGAGAGGGCGGGCGGCAGCCACACAGAGATGCATGTGCTGTCCTCGGCCAGGAGCATTCCCCTCTGCCTGCCGGCTTGTCAGCATTATCACAGACCCCTGGAAATTCATAGGTGCTTTAAAATATAGCAGATCATTGCCCAGTGATGGGGTGGGGGCAGGTAGCCTCTGCCCCTCTCCACGGCCCAGTGAGATGTTCCCACTCCCCAGGCTCAGTCCTCCCTCAGGCAGATTTTGAAGTAGTCAGAATTTACAGGGACTATGTAAGGCCCTTATAAGAATGCATTCTGCCTCTGAGGTCTGCATGAGATCCATTTTACAGCCAAAGAAACTGAGGCTTGGAGGTTTCAGAGGCTCCATGCCAAGGAAGGAATACTAGACTGAGAGTTGGGAGGGCTACCTTCTTGTCCGTTCCTTGCTCTTTAGACTCAGGCTCCTCGTGGCAGACCCGACGACCCCTCTATTTCAGAGCCTGACTCCCTGCCTTCTGGTCCCAACCTGTTTCCAGGACCTGGGGTGGATTTCCCAGAAGCTCTTAGGTTCTCTCTGGAGAGGTGTTTTTGGCTGGCTTTGTGTCCCTGGTGCAACAAAGGTTCTGTCCCTACCTGAGGCATTGCAGACCTCAGTGAGCAGCTGACCAGAGCCTGTGCCATTTGGCCTTCTGGTAGACCCAAAATCAGCCAGCCCAGCCAACTATCTACCACTGGGGCAGGTGCCAGCCCAGTTTTCTCCCACGATGCTTTTGGTGTGTCCATCTAATTACCTCTCAGCGGCATCTTCTTTATGAGTGATCTACCAGTGTGTCCAGATAGGCCTGCTGGGGTGAGAGCAGTTCTCAGATGTGACCCATTTCAGAGGCCCAGCTCACTGTTCCTACTGCTATGGGAAGTGGCTGAGCCCAGATGAGCAGTTTTGGATCCCATAGGGGTGCAGGGGGAGAGGTTTCTGTTTTATGCAACAACTTCATCTTCTGGGAAAGGGTCCATTGTGTAAGAGCCGGGCTGTGGCTCAGCCTGGTGGTGGCAGCCAGCCTGGTGGTGGCAGGGAAACCTTGGCAGAGCACGCTGGTGCAGGCTGAGAGGGAACGGGCTGTGTGAAAGGGACCAGGCAGAGCCAAGGGGCTGTCCTCCCAAGAGACTTCCTGGGAGCTTGCTCCTTGGGTTGGAGCCCAGCTCCTCCGACCCCAGGGATCCCGTTTCCCCTGCGCTTCACTGCTGTCCTGTGGTCCCTCCCTTTGCTTTTTGAAGGTGTCAGTGGCAAGTCTGGTTTTTCTCAAGTTTCTCAAGGATAAACTTGCAGCTGATGCCAGCTGATGGGACAGCTGAGGGCCACATGTCTGTCCTCAGGCCCCCAGAAGCTGGCAGGAAACCAAAAGACAACTTTAGCTATTACCATGATGGTCTCCTTTCTCTCCACACAGAGCCCGGCTAGGATTTCAGAGTTGGAGAGGACAGCGCCATGAAGAGCCTGCTGCTGTGTGTGGCCCTGCTGCTGGCCCAGGAGGATGGATGGGTTCTAGGGGACCAGCTGGTCTCCGACAGTGAGCTCCAGGGTCAGTAGCCCGAGTGTGACCCTCAGACAGTGTGGTGAGCCCCTGTCCAGCCCCCCTCTGTAGGTCTTTTGAAGGTCTTTGAAGGTGTTGAAGGTCTTTCGCATCTTGGCCCCCAGGTCTGGCCCTGTGCCAGCCCCCTGGGGCTGTGCCCCAGTTCCCTGGTTTAGACTCCCTGTGCCCAGGGGCCTTTCTGGCAGTGGCCTCCATGTTCCAGGCCCTTCTCTCTGCTGCCTGTCAGTCAGTTGCTCCCTTGCTGTTCCCTAGCCCGGCTCCCACACCACCTCCTGAGCTTTGAGCCTTTGTCCTTCTCCTCTTCGTGATGTCCCCAGCTCTTCCCCTGTGTCCTGGCCTGTCCACCCAAAACCACGTTCCGCATTCTCTGCCTCCAGGGCAGGATAGGGGCAGGATAGAACAGGCCTCAGGGCGGGTAAGGGATGACTGGGTCAGCGTACAGGTAGGGGTGACCATCTGTTCTCGGAGCCTGCTGGAGGCCACCTCTTCCCAAGGCCTTCCCTGAAACCTGGCCTTTTTCTGTCCCACTTCCTGCTCCTAGCTGGCCAATTCTGTGGGTCTTAGACACTGAGACTTCACACTCAGACTTGGCCCTGCCCCTCCCTAGCTGTAGACCCCAAACTGTTATCTTGGACTCTTAACAATTCTCCCACACCCAGCTTTAGTGAGCTATAACTGACAAATTATCTGCTATGGTATACATCCTGGTGCTTTGGTGCGAATATACATTGCAGGACAAATGCCACCATGAAGCTAATTAGCATATTCCTCCCGCACCCAGTTACCTTTTACATTTGCGATGAGCACAGTACCGACCTTCATGTAAGGACCTAGTGCCCTTCCCTCGGCTAGGTTGTCAATTGCATGTAGTGTGTACCTTACAATATTCAGAACAGAGAAATGGCCGAAGGAAACTCCAACTTGATTATGCTTCCATTTGCATAACTCTTACAAGCAGCACTGTACTGTATAATAACCTAAAGCTACAGTACTGTACTGTGCAGTACAATCAGCAAAAAGCAAAGCCCTGTATAAACAGTATTGTATTGTATTGTATTGTATTGTACAAAAAGACTTTGGGGCTCTATAAACAAGACTTTTCCCAACACTTTCCTCCTCTGCTTCCTTTCCCCCAAATGCTTGTGAAGTGTTTGGTGCGCTGTGAGACACAAGACAGGCATGGCGCAGGGGGACTTCAGTGACGGTGTCCCCTGCCTTTGTCACTTGGTACCGTGCCTGGGTTGCAGCCTCCCTGGTGAACGGTGCCATTTAGTCGTCTTCTCCCCTTCACTGAGCATTACAACAAAGAAGTACAGCTGATTGGTTATGCCGAATTCCAGAATATTTGCATCTAAAATAATAATATTTTAGGTACAAAAATTTACACCTCTTATTTCCCTTGAAAATTGCCTTCTGGGGGCCGTTGGTTTCTGGGGTGACTAGGCAGAAGTGGGCACAGCACTGCTGTCCCTTCCCCGCAGTGTGCCACTCCCATAGCGTGTGACACAGAGGTGGGGGGCACCAGCTGGCCTGTGATGGGACCCGGTCTCCAGCAAGCCAGAGGCCATACAGCTGCCAGCCCAGGGCAGGGGGCGGGGGTCCCCCAGCTTTGACAGCCCCTGGACTGAACAGGCCTTTCTGACCATTTGCCTGGCTCCAGCTGATCTACTGAACTTCATTCCTTCCTCTTTTGCAGAAATGTCTACCCAGGGGAGCAAGTACATTAATAAGGAAATCCAAAATGCTGTCAAGGGGGTCAAGGAGATAAAGAACCTAATAGAAAAAACAAATGAAGAGCGCAAGTCCCTGCTGAGCACCTTAGAGGAAGCGAAGAAGAAGAAAGAGGTGAGGGTGACAGTGACCAGGGCCCTGGCCCTGACCTCCCTGCTGGAATAGAGGGGTGCAGAGGGCCCCTGCTGGGTTGCCCTGGTGAGTTGCAGCCCTCCCAGGGCAGTGTCAGCTGGTGCCGGGCTGCAGGAAAGGAATAGGGAGTTTATTTGCTTTTGAAAGCCTCAGGGGATGAGAACCCTGGTCTGGTTTTGTTACAAGCCTGGCCCAGGGCCAGGTGCCTAGATTCATTTCAATAGATTTTTCTGAAGCCTGACCAAGTACAGGCTCCAAGTCAGGCCCTGGGGAGGGTGTTGGCAGGGTGCGGGACCCCTCTTCACATCTGACCTATTACCTACCATTCTCTTCGCTATACTTTTTGGACAATGGCTATGTTCAAAATTATGAATTTTTTTTTAAGGCTCACCATGTAGCCCAGGCTGGCCTCAAACTCACAGCAACCCTCCTGCCTCAGCCTCCTGAGTGCTGGGATTATAGGTGTATGCCACCACACCGGGGAAAATTATTAATTTTTTACATTTTTTGCATTTACTTATTATAATATTTAAAACTTACTATAAACATCCATTATCTTCCTGGTGTACATAAGTAGCCCTACTTAGTCATGGGGGAGATGGTCCAGGATCCCCAGGGGATTCCTGAAACCACAGATAGTACCAAACCTCTAGATACTGGTATTTCTTCATATATATACACATATATATACACACATATATATATTTTTTTAAAAGTATATATATGATGAAGTTTAATTTATTAACTAGACACAATAAGAGATTAATAATAAGTAACAATAAAATAGAACAATTATAACAATGTGCTATAATTATGTGAATGTGGTTTCTCAGCGAATCTTAATTTCTCATTGCCCCGTAGTAATAATTTGGACTGTGACTGGCTGTGGGTAGCTGAAATTGCTGATAAAGAGGGCTACAGTTCCACTGTTTGACCCTCCCCTACTTCTGAGCTTCTGCTCAGCTCAAACTCAGGACCTTGCTCTTGTGAGGCAGGCCGTGGAGGCACCACTGAGCTAAATCCCCAGCTCTCTGAGCATCTCCTTTCGAGTTGATTCTGACATATGTGTGTGTGTGTATGTATGTGTGTGTATATATATATATATATATATATTTAAATTATTCATTAATTTGTTTTTTCTTTTTTGCATAAACTAATACTGTAATACAATCTTTAGGCATAAAGATTTTTTTCTTTATTTCGGGAGTGCCTTGGGACAAGCCCTTGTAGAATTACTGGGTCAAATGATATGGGTACATTAGTGAATTCTGACAGTTGCTGCAAGTTTGGTTTTGATAGCCTGCTCATTCCCTTTGCACGCACAATTGAAATATGAGATTCAAGGAGCCTCTGGTCTGCTTTGGAAGAGAACTTTTATTTTATTTCCCCACATTTATTTACATTTCTTAATTGGGGTAAAAAAAACACATGACGCACACATTACCATCTTAACCACTTCAGGCAAACAGTGCAGCAGTGTCAAGCATGTCCCTGCTGCTGTGAACAGGTTCCTCTTTCGTCTTGCAGATCTGAAACTCTACACCCATTAAACAGCAATTCCCCCTTTCCTCCTCCCCACAACTTCTGCTAATTACCTTTCTATTCTCCTTTTGCTTGTATTTCCACTCTTTTAAAATTGGTCATAGCAGGTTCATGGGCTTCGTTTTGGCAGATTTGTACATGCACCTAACATAGTTGGATCATTCTCATACATGCACCCCATCACCCCCCACACCAGTTTGAAACACCAGCTGTTATGAACCGAAAAAAAGATCTAAATGAAATCCAGTAGGCAGTGTCTGTGTGAGTCCTAGAGGCTGGGAAAGGCTGAGGAGCAGCTGGGCCTTGAGGGACAGGCACAATGGGGAGGCATTGCAGGTAGCAGAGAGAACATGTGGCGGAGAGGCCTGGAAAGGAGTAGCTGGAAGCTAGACAGTGGGAAGGCCCCTGGGCGTGCTTGCAGCGGTGAGGCCTGCGGGCTGTGTGGTTCACCTGGCCTTGTGTCTACCTACAGGATGCCCTAGAGGAGACCAGAGATTCTGAGATGAAACTGAAGGCGTTCCCGGAAGTGTGTAATGAGACTATGACGGCTCTCTGGGAAGACTGCAAGCCCTGTCTGAAGCAGACCTGCATGAAGTTCTATGCACGTGTCTGCAGAAGTGGCTCGGGCCTGGTTGGCCGCCAGGTAAAAGCGGGTTATGTGTGTGCCCTAGGCTCTGAGGGGGGAATGAGGGGAGCCCAGTGAAATGCTATACACTCCATTCCACATGCCAGATACAATTGATTAGTACTGGCTGGCTGCATGGCCCACCCCCTGGTGCTGTGATTAATTGGTAATGTCTGCCATGAGTACAGTCATTACAAGTATGCATGTTGTGTGTTTGCCATCTCTCAGGAGACTATCCAGAAATGATTATCTGGATAAAACATAGCAGACAGCTTGCTGGTATGGCAGGGCCCTGCACCCGCTTAGGCAGGAGAATTAAGAAGTGTCCATACCTTAATACTAATTCTGGCTTCATCCATGGGCCTCAGTTGGCTGGGACTCTGATCTTTGCCATTAAGGCTGAGCAGGTGAGCAGGGGTGGGTGTCATCAGTGAGTGGACTTTTGAGTCTTGTGACCTCGAAGGTGTCTGTAAACTCTAGCCTTTGTAGGGGCAGATGGGAGGCACTTGCCTCACAGTTGGGAGCCTGGGGCCCAGGCCCAGCAGGGCCTTTGGTCACTTGCTGCATGACCACATTGCGAGGGAGGCGGGCTCTGGGGGTGTGGCCCTGATGACTGACTGCCTCCTCAGTGACTTTCCCTCCTGTGCCCCAGCTTGAGGAGTTCCTGAACCAGAGCTCTCCCTTCTACTTCTGGATGAATGGCGACCGCATTGACTCCCTCCTGGAAAGTGACCGGCAGCAGAGCCACATCCTGGACGCCATGCAGGACAGCTTCAATCGGGTGTCCGGCATCATGGACACACTCTTCCAGGACAGGTTCTTCACCCACGAGCCCCAGGACACTCACTACTTCTCACCCTTCAACTTCCCCCACAGGCGGCCACACTTCCTCTATCCCAAGTCTCGCCTGGTCCGCAGCATCCTGCCCCTCTCCCCATACGGGCCCCTGGGCTTCCACGACATGTTCCAGCCCTTCTTCGAAATGATACACCAGGCCCAGCAGGCCATGGACCCTCAGTTCCACAGACCAGCCTTCCAGCCCCTCGACATGGATTTCATGAGAGGTTAGCAAGAGGACTCTTTCTTCCCAAGGAGGGGTGAGAAGTGACCCATTCAGTGCTAGACTAGGCCGAGACTTGGTGGGTGTCACCTCTGTTTCCAGGTAACCCCAAAAGGGTGGTCTAATTCCTGTTTAAAGAGCAAACGACTAAGACAGGATGATAGAGGAACGTCTGAGATTTCACAGTTGACAGACCTAGCCCACTCCTGTACTGCAGGGCTGGGGTCTGATGCTTCCAGCCAGCGATTATGTCCCTTAAGCAACTGTGTGACATCGACTGCTTTTCCTGTAGGACCAGGGCCCCTTTTCCCTTGGGAACTCTGGGGCTTGCTGCGGGAGCCCTGTGTGCACTGTCTGGCAGTGCATTATGTCATGGCCCATGTCCTCATGGCTGAGACCTCAGGGCCTGGCTCAGGCTCAGTACATGTGCTCTGAGAGAATGAAGGGGATGTGGCCATGAAAAGCCAGTACTTTAGAGTCTATTCCTTCAGCCAGACATTGTTGGGCTATATGGTATGATTTGATGGGCACGAGAGTTTGCTTGAAATGAATTAAAAATCCAGGAGGGCCCGGCACAGGGTACGCATCTCCTGCGGGATGGAGCTTGGTGGTGGCAGGGGCTCCAAGGAGGATGCACTCCTGCCCCCAGCTTGTGATGCAGCAGGCAGAGGGCCCTAGCTAGGAGAGCACAGAGCAAGACGGGTTATGGTGGCGCAGTGTATATAGCCAAGAGAGGGGAGGCAGGAGAGGTCTTCCTGATGGAGGGGGAGAGGAGAAGGCTGGGCCTGGCTGAGGGTCCACAGGACATCCCCAGGTAGCCCCCAGCAGTGGCTCATACTTGTGAGCAAGAAGCAAGCTCCAACCTGCTCTGGCCACAGAACTGTCTCCAGAGCCAAACAGTAGCGTGGAGGGGCCCCCAAAAGTCAGCAGGTCACCTCTGTGCTGCCCCAGGCCTCAGCCTGCCTCTTTCTCCCCGTGTCTCTCCAGAAGGTGCCGATAACCGCACTGTGTGCAAGGAGATCCGCCACAACTCCACCGGCTGCCTGAAGATGAAGGACCAGTGCGAGAAGTGCAAGGAGATCTTGTCTGTGGGTGAGTCAGGGGCCAGGCTGCAAGCTGCCCTGGGACTACCCCGACATGGCTCCCCCGTGCCTCACTGGGGCTGCCTTTATTCAGAGTCTGGCTGTGGCCCAGAGTGGGTCCCCAGCACTGCACAGCTGGTGGCCTCCTCTGGAGAACTGGTGAAGATGCAGGTTGCCTCTGAGGCTGGTGAGACACAAATCAAGCACTTGTGGCCTGTGGTACACAGACAGTCCCCATGGGTGCTGCCAAGGTTTTTGAAAAACGCCACCCCATTTTGACTTCCCCAGCTCCTCTGTCCCCAAGTACCAAGCATAGTAGAGTGCTCGTTTTCCACTTCGATTGTGAAATTTTAGACAGTGTGTATTTTGTTTAACAAACACTTGCCCCATGCCAGGGACTGTTCTAAACTCTTTACAAATGTTTACTCATTTCCTTGTAAGTTGAGTACAGTTCTTGCCCCCATCATGCAGAAGAGGAAGCCCTGTCTTAGAAGGCTAAGGAACTTATCCTATGCAGGCTGGGTGTTGGGCTGTTTTCCTGAGCAGCTACTGGGTTCCTCCCTGTCTACCTGAGATATTGGTTGTGGTCCTTGGTGTCCTGGGATGATTCTCTTTGCTGGGTTGGTCCCCTAGGCAAAAGAAGTATTCTTTTGTATCCCCTCTGTTTGATCACATCTGGCTGTTTATTAAATCCTCCCTACTTTGACACCACAGCTATAAGAGTCTTTAGAGTAGTTCCTGCTCATGAGGAGCAAATGTCTCCCCTTGTAGCTAGCTTATTGATCTATGGCTTTGCTCTTACTTAACACACGTGGGTTTGCCTGGCCAGGCTTTTAGAGCCTGGTTAAACGTTCCTAGCCTCAGTCCTGTGACTTTAGGAGCCGGTGCATAATAAATACTAGTGCTATTAGAGGCTGTGGCGTGCAGACATTGTAGATAAGTACATGACCCAGTCGGTGGGCTGGTCTTATAAAAAATATCACGGAATAGCATAAATTACGTAGTATTTCAACACAAAAAAAGTCATCTTAGGGGCAGAAGAGAAGATGTATAGAAACCTAGGCTCAGGTTGGACCTATTGCACCAAGGTGAATGATCATAGCTAAGCTTAGCAGTGGCCTTCTGGTCTACCTTGAGGAAGACAAGACACACTACCTCTTATACTTAAGTGCTTGTGACCATATGCACATGCTCCAGCTCTGGTCTTCTCAGTTTCGGTCTATCGGCATCTTGCATAGGGTCACTCCTTGCTGTGGGGAACTTTCCTCTGCATTCATAGCAGGGTGTCAGCAGTGCCCCTGGCTTCTGACCACCAGGTGCCTGAAGCATCCCTCTCCCCAGTGTGACAACCAAAATTGTCTGCAGAGCTTGCCAGATGTCCCCTATTCTAGACTGAGTCTCAGCTTCAAGGAATATTCTGATTTTTAATTATTTCCCGGTAAGAGAGTTAAGGTTATTCATCACATATATTTTCTTAACCTGGCTTTGTACTAATCCTGATTCTTGCTCTACCTAACATTTTATTATTTAATATCGAGGATTGCAACCACTCTCTGAAGTGGGCAGAGATCTTTCTCGATTTGTTTAGGTTTGAGGTGCCTTACTTCTTGTGGATATTTTTTTTAAAAACTCAAAGGGAGAAAAACAGTAGCTTTGAAAAAAAAAAAAAGTAGGTGGTTTCTGTCTCTTACGGATCTGACAACCTGCAATGGGAGCTCAAGGACCAAAAGGAATGAGTTCTATTTTCCCTGCTGTCCTGTGAGCATGGTGGCCAGCTATGGGAGGGCAGAGGGCAGGCAAGGACTCCAGCCCCAGGCTGTGATACTTCCTGGCCCAGGCCCTGTCCAGCTCTTCTGCTGCATGGGCTCGCCCAAATATGCTCAAAAGACAACACTGGAGTAGGTTCCAAGACCACAGACAAACAGGAAGGAAGAGCCACAGTAGGAAGAGCCCAGGTTTAGGAGTAAAAGACTCAAGTTCAATCATGGCCCTGATTTCTGGGTCTCGATTTCATTATTGGTAAAAAGTCAGGACAGATGTGACTGTTAAGGGACATTCAGAGCCCTATGTACCAGATAGCAGAGCTGGGGGCCCCACAGGGGAGCAGATTCCTCCTCTCTAGAGGTACGAGGTGGCAGAGAGCACAGGTCTGAGGACGTGGAGCACTGTTGGTTACCAGTCCCCAAGGAGGCACAAGGTCTGGCACCCGATGGTGATTCAGTTGTGCGTGTCAGCACACTGTTTGTTTAGCTGACATCCTTATCCACAGCAAGACTCTCTGGGTGAAAGGAGCAGCATCTTGATTCACATTTTGGGGAGTCTTACGTTTTGTTGGGAACCGTAATGAAGTCTGTGGCCTACCACTTAGGGGTGCCTGGCTGTGGGAGCTGGTTTCCATTTGTTTTTATCCCTGCACACTTATTTCTTACCTTTTTTTTTTTTTTTTTTCCCATCTCTGGGCAGACTGTTCCACCAACAACCCAGCTCAGGCACAGCTGCGGCAGGAGCTGAATGATTCCCTCCAGGTCGCCGAGTTGTTGACCCAGAAGTACAACGAGCTGCTCCAGTCCTACCAGAGCAAGATGCTCAGCACCTCATCCCTGCTGGAGCAGCTGAACAACCAGTTTAGCTGGGTCTCCCAGCTGGCTAACCTCACCCAGGGCGAAGACCCTGCCTACCTCCGTGTCTCCACAGTGAGTGCTGTGTGTCCCAGCCACACAAGGACAAAAGATCCAAGATGTGGCTGGGAGGTGACATGAGCCTGCCGGGGTGAGATGGGATGCAGGTCTTACAGAGGGGCACTTCTGCTTTTGATTGGACGCTGACCATAAGGCAGGAAATGCAAAGATCATAGGCAACCTATTGCACTGAGATGGACCAACCATCCATAGCGGTAAAATATCGTGACCCCGTTTCCCAGATGGGGGAGTGGACAGGGATGGCACAGCGTGCCGAGGCTGAGAACTGCAAGTGATGCCCTGGGTCACTGAAACTGCCCGGCTGCCCAGCCTGGACTCTCTATCTACCTTGCTACCTTGGGTTAGGAAGAATGGCTCATGGGTTGGTACACTGTTCTCTGCCCTGGAGAAAAGGGAACCCCCTTTCTTTCTTGATTCCTTTTCAACCCCAGACTGGCCAACAACTACACAAAGAAAACATCTGGAAACCACTTTCACTCTCTGGGTGCCCCTGAGCGGTCATTTGAGGATAGCATTTTCCCTTTGAATGGGTGTCTGGCTCAGGGCATTTCCACTGCGGAGTCACACAGATCTCTAGATGAGTAACCTCAGCCGTCTGCCTTTTCCTGAAGGGGCCAGGAAACTTCCATCCTGTAGGGTGCCGCTGTAGAACACACGCATGTGGCCATGACATGGCACTGCTCCTGTTCCCCTGGCCTGTCTAGGTGACGACCCACACTTCTGACTCCGACACCCCAGCCCGTGTCACTGAGGTGGTGGTGAAGCTCTTTGACTCCGATCCTATCACTGTGGTCATGCCAGAGGAGGTCTCCAGGGACAACCCTACATTTATGGACACTGTGGCTGAGAAAGCACTGCAGGAATACCGCAGGAAGAAGCGGTAAGTGGGCAGCCTGTCCTGCAGCCCCCCGCGGCCCAGGAGCCCCTGAGGCTTAGTCAAGGGACGGAGAGAGAAGCATGGGGAGAAGGCCTGCCTCTGTGGCCAGAGCCCAAGGTGGAGCCAGGTAACCACCAGGAATTTCGGTTTTCCTCTGGGGAGTGGTCTTCCTTAGCAGATAAGAGTCTGCTTCTTGGTGAATATTGATCTCCTTCTCCCCTCCCTCGCCCTTTGTTTTTCAGAGAGGAGTGAGATGTGAGCATCGCTTTTCTACGTATGAGGGGGTGTCATAGCAGCTCCCCCAAGATGAGCCACAGCCCCCCAGAGAGAGCTCTGCATGTCTCCGTGTGACTAGGCCCCCACCCCACCCGGCCTCTCCTCCCTCTGGATTCTCACACTAATGCCTGTGTTTGCCGCCTGTGGGAAGATCTGCTTCCGCATGCAACTAACCCAATAAAACTGCCTTGAGCTGAGCGCTCCAGTTCCTCCAGTCCTGCTGTTTTTCTGTCTCCTGCCGGCCTTCATTTTGGTATGGAAGGGAAACAACGAAGAAACAGAAACAGTAAATTAGTGGCTGAGATGTTACAGAGGTCATCATAGAGCGGAAAATAGAAGGGGTCTATCCGCTGAGAGAGGTGACCCAAGTCAAGAATCCCTTGCTTATCAGGAAGAGAGGGGTGTTCCAACAAGCCAACTAAAGCAAATTCTGCAGATGTGAATCTTTTCCATTCCATTGTAAAACTCTCCAAGTACTCTGCCTGGGTGAGGGCAGTTCCCTGGAGGAGTACATTGGAAATAAGGGCAAAAAGGAGGTATAATGAGGCATCCTAGATCTGCTAATATATAATGGATATTATCCTTATGGAAATTGTAGTCTCCAAAAGACCGTTTCATTTGTAAGGCTTTGGAATCCCCCAGAACTTTCCTAGTTGTGGATTCCTCTGTCTACTGCCCCTCCATACCATCTTCATCTGGACCACGGGCATTTATTTCTCTATCTAGATGGTTCCTGACGATGGGTTTGCTGTTCAGCCCAAACAGTGGGACTGCAGTACCTGATGCTGGCACCAGGTGGCCTCAGCTAACCATAATACAAATCTGTCCAATGGCCTAAGCTTGTCACTTATTAGGGTTCTCTAAATATAGACTGCTGACCATCAAATACATTGATGGAAGAAACCATCTGGATACATCTCAGATTTGTAGGAAAGTCCACTTGTCCATTCGTGGCTTAGAGCATTCTCGGGTCCCTGCCCCTTCTCTCTTAAGATGTAATGCTCAGCCACAAGGGAATCAAACTTGTAAGGCCCAACTCATGCCAAGAGTTAGTGTGTAGGATTGTTATCCAGGGGCATCAGAGTAATGTCAGTGCGATTCACTTAATGGAGTATAATAATTAGGGTTATGAGGTCAGAGGGGATTTGTTCAAGTGACTGTAATTGTAAATTGTGTTAATGTCACACAGTATGATTGACATTTAAACCTTTTTATTTGTTTTCATTTTTTATTAGTATACATTTGCAATACACAATGATCACATTCGTCTTGAGGAGTTGGTACCTGTTCCATCTTGATCATCTTACACCCCCTCCCTCCCCAGAGACCTGTCGCATTTCCACACAGCCTACCTCCCTGTTTCCTGCCATCTCCCTTTTATTTTGCTTTATAAATTATTTATACTTGGGGTCTCATATCAGAGCAATATTTAACCTGTTTCTGATTGATTTCACTTTGCATTATGGTCTCAAGATCCTTTTTCATTACAGGGTTGCTGGGTTTTGCCAGCCACCCTCGGGGGTTATTTTAGTGCCCCCGCTTTAAACTCTCATGTGCCGGCTCCCTGAAAGGCAGAGTCAGAGAGTCCTAGCATGGAACTCGGAGGTTCCCTGGGACCCCTCCTCTCCACCTTCATTCTCCCTTGCACAGTGGTCCGGTTCTGAGGGCCTCTCTGTGACCCTCCATTCCCGACAGACGTTCCCACCTGAGGCACTAGAAAGACTAAGGCAGGGTGAGAGCTCACCACGGCGATTGGGTGAGATGTGGCTAATTCCGGCAGGGGCCGTGGACTTAGCCCTTGGTTTCTGTCTGCTTGGATTCTTGAAACAAAATAGGAGCAGTGCTTGCCAGTCTGGGAAGAGAGGGGTCTGACGTCTGCCTAGAAACGGGAGTGGACCAACCTTGTTGTAGACTTCTGTGCTGACGCTGGCCTACCACCTGCCAGAGCACTGTGGTCAGATGCGATCTCTGGTATGTGGAGGAGAAATGACCTGGGAGGCGTGCAGTGCACAGCATCGCACAGCTGCCAACTGTGGCCAATCAAGGTGCCTGAGGTGCGCCAGTTGCTTCAGATAATCCTGCTAGGTTCCTGCTATTACTCTCAAGGAGTAGCCTGCCTCAGAGGCTGGGATGTGAGAACGCCCCACCCCATTCCTCCAGACCTAGGGAGGCCGGCACAGGAAGCTCAGAATCCCTGGCCCTTGCTGTGAGGTACAGGGAGTAGGCAAAGGGTGACTGTCGGGGCTTTCCTCATGTGCAGGGCACTGCTCAGGTGGCATCACAGGGTGGCAGAGGGGCCAGGCTCTGAGGGGCAGGGAAGGGCTTTGCTTAGGAAGTGAGATTGAGCTTTGACTGGAAACACAGAGTGACCCCAAAAGCCACTGAGTGAAGCTGCAGGAGTGACAGGGACTATTGATACGCACTCTTGCAGAGAGTGAGTGAACTCAGGCCTGATTCGGGCCTGAGGAGGGGGCTCACTGCTGCCATCTGGCTGCCTGGACTTTCTACATCAGGGTTCTAGGCGTTGCCAGATCTTTTCCAGTTGTGACAGAAGAGCTTGGCAAAGCCATGATGAAAAATAGCTCTAGAGGTGATACAAAGAGGACCAGGTCTTCCGAGTTCCGGAACAGAACGGGTGATTAGCAAATCCTGCTATGTGATAGCGGCAGAAGCCGGACCTTGGACGGGGAGCACGTGTCCAAGGCTACTCACGAAGGCTCTGTTTGCCGCCTGGCTCTGCTCGCAGGCTGATCTGGTAACCTCTGATCCAGTCCTCAGCCATGCAGTGCCAGAGTGTGTACAGCTGCGTCCTTGTCCTCACCTGTGCTCGGACTGCAGGGCCAGCAGTGGCCTCCAGCCATCTCTGATCCACACAGAGGGGCCTCAGTCAGGCTACAGAGGGTCCCAGAGTGCAGTGCCACACTCTGCCTGCTCTTGCTCCTGCAGCCTCTGGCACCTGGGAAACAGACTGTGACCTTCGGCTGGCACCAGACATTCCCACAACCTCCTCTTTGCCTGCAGGCCCCTGGGTGCCCAATCCTGTACATCCTAGCGCCCACCCTCAGGCACCCGGGAAGCCAGAGGTGAGAGGAGGGCTGCCTCACAGTTAGAAGGAAATTGGCATCTTTGCCAGGGACAGCACGTGTGTGTAGCCACAGTGGTGCTGCACAACACCAACAAAGGCACAGGTCCTTTGCCAGACCCACCCCTGGGTCCTGTCCCCAGCCTGCATCCCAGGAGGGCACGAGGGCCCAGTTTCAGGACTGGACGCTGCAGTTGCCTCGAACCCAGCACAATGGCGCCTCACTCTGGGTGGGCAGAGGCAGTCTGTGTGAGAAGGGGCACTGGAAACAGAAAACCTACACTAATTTCCATAACTCTGTTCTGGAATTTTTGGAAATATCAGGACCTCCCTGTCTTGACTCTAAATGGCCGTGCCCTGTGCAGAGCAGATGCTGGCTGCTTTAGTCTGTGGTTCCCGCTCCTGCCCCTGGGAACTGGGTGCTCAGCGATTCCGCAGGTTTCCTCCCTCCTTGCTTCACCCAGCACCTGCCTTTGGCCTTATTTTGTACCTGGAGACCTCAGGTCACACCTGCCTCCCAGGCTGCTTGGGAACATTCTCCCTCGATTTGAAAGCAACCGTGGCGTGGAGATCTCGTCTCAGCAGAGCCCTGGTGCCTCCCACAGGTTTTTCTCCCTTCTGGCCACACTCCTGTTCCTTTATTGTCTGGGACCAGCTGACTGCGAGTGATTTAGGCCAGAGCTGGGAGCTCAGACAGATGGCACCAGGGGCACCATGAACCCCTGTGCAGGGGCTGACAGTGGCTACCCTGGAGTGACCAGAGAAGACGCCCTGTGCTGAGCTGTGTCCTTGCTCATGGTGGGCTTTGGTCCTCCGCCCAGGCAGCTTCCCTGCCCTTTGTGACCTCAGGGTGACAAAGCCGTACTTAAAATCTGAAAGTCACAATGCCACAACCTCAGAGCTTACCTGGGCCCTTCTGTCTCGCTGTGCACCTGAGGCGTATGGGGACGCGGTGGCTACCTGCAGGTGAGATTAGCTCATTTCTTTTCGGCTGGGGTCCTCTCAGCCCAAATCTAGCTTCAAGAGCCGCCTGTGGCCCCGCAGCCCAGATTCTGCACTACGGTTTAGCCTCACGCTGGTCAGGGTGGCACTGTCCTCAGCCTTTCGCCCTTTCCCAAATTCTTGGACGCTGCTACATTTCCAGCCCACTGGGAGAAGTCCAGGCTTGGAGGACAGGCTCCAAGCCTCAGGGCCCCATTTCCTGTTTCCGGAGATGAGCATGTTTGTCACCAGGGGGCAGAGCTGGCCAAGACACCTTAGGCTCAGCCAGAGACAGGAGAACCCTGGCCAGAGGCGACTTGAAGGGAAGCAGCAGGAGGAGGGAGGGAAGGAGAGGGAAAGTGGGGAGACCAGCAGCACCCTCAGGAGCCCGGCTTACAGGCTGAGGCCGCGCCACTTGGTGTCCAAGGCCCTCTGCAAGGAGAATTCTGCAAAGACGACCTTCAGGTATCATAGAAGAAGATCTCAGGTCAAAGAAAGGATGAATTATGTTCATTAAAAGCCTACACCCCAAAGGGCATCCAGATTTTCTGTGTATTTCAAAGACATTCAGCTGCTTCTGGTTTTAGATTAATTCATTGTGCTGTGTCCCTTACTGGGGTAGATGTAGGGTGTCAAAAGACTCCAGGGCAGGCACAGCCCTGCTTCTGGCAGCAGAAACATCACTTAAAAGTTTGGAAAACAAACACTACTTAAAAATTTTAAAACACAATATAGAAGGCAATAGAATGCAAAATTCATGGAATTTAAAAATAAAATGTCACCTATCTAAAATACGGGGCTGGAGATGGCTGAAATGTTTGAAGACTCCACCACCTTTCCCAGCTTGCTGTGTGATGCGGGGCGGACGTCGTCACTCTGAGCCTGTTTCCTTGGCCGTAGGACAGGAGAGGGTTTGGCCTGCTATGCTTTCTTTTGCTAACTTCACCAACCCATTCCTTTTCTTATATATCAAAGCCCTCCAGGAAAAAAATAACTGGTATATATATCTACATCCAGAGATTTATCTCCAGGTGTGGGCACATGTGATTTCTCAAGGCCTCAGTCTGGAACGCAGCACTGAGCCCTGGAAATTTGAGTTAGTGTATAGTCTTGAGGCCACATTGCTTCTTTTTCTTCTAAAAACCTCAAATTTTTTTAAGACCTTTCAATTGATTGCATGAGGCCTATCCACAATATTAAGAGTAATTTTTTTTACTTAAAAGCCAACTGATTATAGAGGTTAGCCACAGCTACAAGATGCCTTCATCGTCACACATCGATGAGCATTTGATTAAATAACTTGGCACTATAGTTATGCTAGTCAATACATGAAAGTACTGTAGCCTTACACACAGGGCTGGCCCCGCACCTTCAGGGCTCAGAAGGGCCCCATGGTTAGCTGAGGGTTCTGATGCTGTCCTCTTGAAATTCTTAATAATTTTGCATCCTCCTTTGCATTGGGACCTGAACTCCCACAGCATCTCGTGCTGCAGAGGTGGCCTTGCTGTCTCTCACGGCTGCAGACTGGGCCTATTCTGGAGCCCCCCCGATGACGTGCAGCCAGGGCAATGGCAGTCACCTACTTCCCTGACCCTGCATTGTAATCTGCCTTATGCTTCCTAACATCCTGTGCACACCTTGTTTCCTGATCTAGAATGAAAATTTTCCTTATTTTTATTGGGGTAAACATACAGACTACACAGCGCACCATTTTAGCCATCTTCAAGTGCACAGTTGAATGACAGAACGAACTTTCACATTGTTGTGAAATCACCACCATTCCTCTCCCCAGAACTTTTTCCCCTTCCCTGGCTGAAACTCTGCATCCATTAGACATGAACTCCCTTTTACTCCCACCCCCTGCTTATGGGAACAACCATGCTATTCTGTCTCAATGAATCTGACTGCTCTAGGAACTTCATTTAAATGCAATCATAGGAGATTTGTTCTTTTATGAATGACTATTTTTACTTAGCACCATGTTGTAAGAGTCCATCCTTATTGCAGGATGCGTCAATTCCCTTCTTTTTTAAGGCTGAGTAATACTCTGTTGCATGTACAGACCACAGTTTGGCTACTGTGAAGAATGCTGCTGTGAACATGGGTGCCCAGATAGATCTCTAACACCCTGCTGTCCCTTCTCTGGGGACACAGCAGTTGCATCATTTTGTATTCCCACCAGCAAAGCTCCAGTGTTTCAATCTCTCCACATCCTCACCAAAGCTTGCTACTTTCTACTTTTGAAATTTTCACCATTCATGCTGATCTTAGTGGGTGTGAAGTGGGTTCTCATCTTGGTTTTATTTGCATTTCTCTAATAAGTAGTGGTGATGATCTTCTTTTCAAATATTTGCTGGTGGTTGGTGTATCTTGGAGATACTTGTAATCATATGAGTTATAATTAAAATATAAATTTCTTGAGGGCAGAAAGATACCTTAAGCTTCTAATTCCCCCGAAGCACTTGATGCAGAGTATATCTTTGAGGAATGCTCTATGGAGCAAGTCAGAGGCAAACTGGAGCTTTTAAAAAAGGACCATGAAGAACATTTTCCAGGAGAGAAGAGAGACTTCACTCCCAAAGAATTGCCTGGAGGCTAAGCGGAGGGGCACACCGGAAGTGAGGTGAGGTCACCGGAAGTGGGTCTGTACTGAGAAGAGCGGAGGAGGGACCTCCCCTCAAAGCAGGCAGCCGGCTCCCACTGAGCATGTGAAGACCCTCGAAGGTGAGGGACAGCAGGCAGGGTCCACACCACTGCTGCACCCAAACACCTCCAAGGGCCTCATCCTGATGATATAGGGCCAATGATATAGGGATGATACATGGACCTCCAAATAATCCAAATAATATATGGGAAATATTGTAACTCCCAACCCACTAGATGTCTGATACACCAAGTTTGTGTTCTCTAAAATAGAAGAATGAATTCTAGGAACAATGGAGGTTAAGAGTAGAAAGTATTTATTGAGAGAAAGATAGCCTCTGTCTAAGAGAAAGAGAAGAGGGCCCAGAAAGTGGGTTGCCTGAACTTTTCAAGGGAATTTTACAGAACAGAGCCACGAGGTGAGGCGGGTACAAGGTGAGACAAAACCATGATCAACCAATAGGATTATAAGTATGGTCGCTTAGGTAATGTTGATCCAATGGGAAACCACAACCTGGGTATAAAATGGGACAAAACTATGGTCAATTAATAAGATTAGGAGTATAGTCGCTTAGGTAATAATGGTTAAATGGGGATCCAATGGGGAAGCAAGTCCCATAGCAAGTGTACACAGACTGAACAAGGACTTTCCAGGAAAGAAATGGACTAGGGAGATTTTGGTTCCCACCCAAGGTGACTGATGCTTATTTAGAATATCAGTCACTGCTGTTCATCCCTAGGGGAAGTATGTGGATGTCATTTTTCCTTGTCTTGAAGTCTGACCTTCAGTGAATGCACCTCCAGCCACAGCTGTAATATGTTCTTATCTCCTGCATTGACTTTCTTGACAAGACCCAGTCCTGTCTGCCTGCCTATTTTATATATATATATATATATATTTCAATATATAATTTTTTTTTTTTTTGAAGTCCCGGGGATCAAACTCAGGATCTTGTACTTGCCAGGCAGACATGGTGCCACTCAGCCACATCCCCGGGTTACCTATAATATTTTAACTAACTTAGCTGTGTATAATATTGAGAGGGCTGGAGAGAGAATCCCAGAAATCACAGCCCTGGGGACTTTCAATCCCATACCTTGCTAGTAGGTGGAACTTGTGAGTCACAGGATCCTTGACCTCCTAGACAAACATAGCACACATTAGGGCTCCCCTTTCTCCTGGAGAAACAAGAATGTGGTGACTGAAGGTGTGGGAAAGGGATTGGGCAGCAAGGGCATCTCCTGCTGTGGGTGCTGTGAGGTCAGGCAGGGAGGGAGGGCAGACAGGCCCTGACCAGAGCCCAGCTCATGCTGTGGAGGCAGGAGGGAACCTCTGCCTCCTGGACCTCCACCCTCATGGAGGTGGGCCCAGCTTGTGTGTCCTCTGGCCTCAGTAGAACACTTTCTCTAGGTAGGAATTCAGGAACATTCCAGTGGGGTCCAGCTTTTCACGGATGGAGCAGAACTTGGGAAAGGCAGGATACATTTTCTCAAAGTCCTTCCGGGTGCAGTTGTGGGCCTGGGGAAGCAAATCAGAGACCATGACCTCATCCCTGGAGCCAGCAGGGCAGCAGGACTGAGTCCCCAAGCCTGCCTGGGGGACACCCCTCCTTGCAGACATGTGGACACGTGCACCATATAGAGACCCTAAAAGAGCTGAGCGTGGTGATGCACATCTGTAATCTCAGCACTCAGGAGGCTGAGGCAGGAGGATTCAGCCTGGACTACATATTCAGATTCTCAAATCCCCTCCAGAAAGAAGGGGAGAGTTTTGGAAAGTGGAGCAGGAAGGGGTTAGAAAGCAGCCCTGGACTCCCCATTCCCATTACAATGTGACACTATGGGGTGTCTGGTCCCACCACCTCGGAGAGTGCTCACTTTCCTGTCAGCTAAATGGGCTCACAGATGCCAGCTTATCCTGCTCATGGGCTTCTTATGAAAGTCAAATGAAGGGAAAGGTACATGTTTCTCTGAACACCCAGGGGCCTGGCAGTCACTGGAACTGTGGGATGCGGGGCTCAGGATGAGGAAGGGGGTCTGGGAGCGGAAGGCTGAGGCCAGCCTTTCCTGGGGCACCCAGCAGCTGCCCACAGCCCTACCTTGGCCCAGTGGGGTCTGCCCCCGAACTTCTTCATGATGGTCTCATAGGCCAGCCAGTAGTCCAGCCGAGGCACATCCTTGCCGTAGGGCCTGGGGACAGGGGAGGCAGGAGGAAGTGAGCCCCGCCCCAGCCCCTGAGTGCCCACCACAGAGGGTGCCTTCTCCAAGCCTGCCCAGCACCCAACCCGGGAGGGTGAGGCAAGGCCAGCTCTGCCACAGGACTCAGACAGCAGGGAGCCAGCACCCTACGGCTTCCAGGCTTCCCCAAGGGGATCTGAAGAGCCTGCACCCCTCGAGTATTATTCAGTGAGTGTCTGAAAGTACTTGTGAGTTTAATCTTAGGTCTGAAAAAACAGAGCTGAGAAGTTCCTTCAACCTAGGGTCTCTCCTGTGCCTGGCTGTGCAGTGATGTCTGATGCACAGACACCAGCCACCGCCTACCTCTGCCTGCAGCAGTGACCTGCCATGCGGGGTGCAGCCTCAGGGCGGGGGGGTTCTGGTGAGCTCTGAGTGTTCCTGCTGATGAGGAGCCCTGTTGTTGAGTGATGCTCGATGTGTGTGTGTGTGTGTGTGTGTGTGTGTGTGTGGACATGCACGCACACACACACAGTACAAAAGGTCTCTTTTTGACAGAGCCTTGGAATTTTATTTTATTTTATTTATTTATTTATTTATTTATTTATTTTTTGGTACCGGGGATTGAACTTGGGTCCTTGTGCTTACAAGGCTGGTGTCAGAACCACTGAGCTAAATCCCTGGCCCTTGGGATTTTAGATTAACCCACTCATGTCTGGAAAATCTGACCGCACAACCTAATGGTCATTTTGGGTCAGTCCTCCTGCCCAGCCAGTGAAGAATGATCGATCGATCGATCTATCTGTCTATCTATCATCTATCTTCCTTCCTTCCTTCCTTCCTTCCTTTCTTCTTTTTTTATACTGAAGGTTGAGCCAAGGGACCTTTTTGCCTTTGCACTGAGCTACATCCCCAGCCCTTTTTACTTATTTGGAGTCAGGGTCTTGCTAAATTGCCCAGGCTGGCCTTGAACTTGCAGCCCTTCCGTCTCTGCCTCCCAGAGTGCTGGGGTTACAGGCATGCACCACCACATCCAGGGGCACTGACCCATTTTTAAAAACCCACATGAGCATGTTGAGATGCACCCCCCTGGTGACTTTCTCATTTCTGACTTTGAATTCACAGAGAGGGAGAAGACATAGACATACACAGGCAGGTGAGTCTCCCCCTAGGGAGCACGCCACTGTCCCCCGTGAGTCTCCAGGGAGCCTCCTTTTCAGGCTTTCTGGGCCTCACCTTCCCAGCAGGGTGGGGCCCGCGGGCTGTGGGAAGCACTCTGGTGAGCTTCGGCGCAGGCCGGGGATGCTGTTCTTTAGCAAAGTCTAAGAGGGGCTGCGATGTATGATGGAAGGAGGGGAGGCAGAAGCAGTGCACGTCACTGCAGCATGAAATTTCAGGAAACGTGAATTTCAGCTACCCAGGCACAGCAGCGCCATCCTGCAGACCACTGACCAGAGGAGAAGAGGATGCCACAGCCACGGCCGTGCCTGGCAGAGCCGTCAGTGTGGGCAAAGGTGGCCATCAGGCCCCTGGCTTGTAGCAGGAGCCTCTCTCCTGCAGAACAGCACCAGCCTCAGGGCTCTTCCCAACCTCACAGTTGCCGGCTGGCATGGACATGTGAGATAGGACATATTTGTCATTCCACACTATCTGCTTCATAAATTGGGGTATTCCTCATGAATAAAGACATAAATAATATTAAAATTATATTAACACAGCATAGACTAGACCTGTGGTATGTTGTGAGTCTGCAGTGGCAGTGTTGCTGGGTGTGGCGGTGGGCACCTATGCTTCCAGCTCTCTGGGAGGCTGAGGCAGAAGGATTGCAAGTTTGAGCTCAGCCTGGGCAACTTAGTGAGACTCTGTCTCAGTAAAGCTCAGTGCAAAGGCCTTGGGTTCAATCCCCAGTACTGTTGAGAGAGGGAAGGAGGGCAGAGGGAGGGAGAGAGACTGGTCTCCAGTTGCCAGGACCAGCAAGTCCCCTAGAGAAGGTGGCATCAGGGCTGGCATCAGAGATGGGAAGGAGAAGGGTCCTTCTAAATCCTGGGGAGGGCATCCTGTGCCACCCGCCCTTGCAGGGAGTCTGTCACCTGTACATGATGATGTTCATGTAGCAGCTGTCCCTCTGGGAGCAGGGGCTCAGCAGGATGTCGTCCCCCCTGGTGAAGCGCACCTCCACGGGGTAGTGAGCCATCACCTTGGGGTGGGCTTCCAGCATGCTCTTCAGCTCCAGCAGGGCCTCCTTGGTCTTCTCTCTGCACTCAGCGCAGGGGACACAATCTGGACCTCTGGGTGGGAAGGCTCCCCAGGACTCTCCCATAGCTCTCACAGGGCCCACTCCCGTGGCCGTCCCATGGGGGGCCCCCTACCTGGGGATGGCCCAGTCCTGGACATGCTGCTTGAAGCGGCACTCGTAGGTGAAGATCTTGTAGCTGACATCACTGTTCTCCTTCTTGTGGTTGAACAGCAGCCAGAAGAAGAAGCGATTGATCCAGCCCACAAGGCACGGCAGGAAGGTGCTTTGGGGACAGAGGGAGGAGGGACGGTGGTGTGATCATCACCACACCTGGCATCTACCATGTGCCACTGTGTGCCAGGTACGGCAGTGAGTTCTTTCCAAAGCCCAGAGCCTTGCTCTCCACAGGTATGTGGCCTTTGTCACTTGTCTGTATCTTAGAAATCCCTCTCGGTGCACTAACATAGATCTACATCCTTCTTCCGATAGCTGAATGATAGTCTGTGTCAGGGGCAGTGCACATGTGCTCTGACATGCATTCACCCATTAGCATTGATTTCAGTCTCGTCACCTTGTGCCACACTATGACAAATGTCTATGTCCTGCAATCTCAGCAGCTTGCTGGGGCCAAGGGTAATTGAGTTCTAATTTCAGTAGGTTGTTGTCAGATGAATTGTCTTGAAAATTGTGGTATTTACCCTCCCATGCCCTGGGACACCCCTATTGCTGTAAGGATTAGGTGGCCTGTGGGAGCCAGTATACTGGCATGGAGCCTCTGGTCTTACATTCCTGTCCCCAAAAACATTGCTGGAGTTGCCTAGGTAACTATGGAGGAAGGGCTTTGCAGTTCTGGGGCCAAGCAGGAACTGCTATCTGGTCTTTTGCTCTAGGAAATTCGTTCACATCACAATCTGCAAAATCTGTATCTATACACACATACAGGTTCCTTTTTTCTCTCTGTGTGGGAGCTAAACGCTCACTCTGGACACACTGGGAAGCAGGACACAGAGCCAGTGTTCTCCCTGCCAGGAGGTGTATGGTGCCCCAAATAGGCAGAGACCACATGGGCTGGGCTCAGAGGCCCGGAGGTCTGCTGGAGCTTCTATCTGTGGGCCCAGATGTAGTAGCTGATTTAGAGCCCAATTTATTTGGATGTGGCCTGGGCTCAGGCTCCAGCATGCACACTTAAAGCTGTCCTCCTGTGGAGATGGAAGCTGATGCCTGGAGAGAAAGCCACACTCTCCTTTGAATCCATTATCTGGATGGAGCTGTGGCCGTCAAGCTGGGCTGGGCGCTCTGGATGCTCCTTGGCCCTTTCCCACCCAGATCAGAGGAGATGCACTCTGGTCAATTGTAAACCAAGGATGTAAGGTGCAAACCACCTTCAAGGAATGTCAAAAAAACTACAAAGGAGTCACACATATGGAGTGGCTAAGGGTGTGCCTGGAATATAATAAGTACTCAGAAAACTGCAGCCCATTCCTGCTGAAGGTGGCTGTTGCCCACTCAGGGAGGCATGGAAGAATGAATGGGTGCTTACAACCTGAGCTGACAGGGTGAGTGTAGGGAATGGAAAAGGGGACATTACCAGAACCCCTGCAGTGGGTCCTGGTCTCCTGTGAGCCACTACAACACAAAGTTGACAAGAATAAAGATAAGAAATGAGACTTAGAGGAAAAGCTGCATTTTGGGCCTGATCAGTGCTGCTCTGGGCAGCAAAAACAAAAACACCCTTTGTTTGCTACTATTATTGAGTTCATAGGGAGTATCAGATGACTCAGAGGGTGGAGGTAATCCTAAACTGATAAGGATCTTATAATTGGAAGAAATATCAGATGTCTTGGAGGGTGGCAGTAATCCCATGATGAGGAGGATCTTATGCTGATGAGGATCTTAGGTCAATGAGAAGCTTAAATTGATTAGGACAGTAAGATGAACAAAATGTTCTTACAACAGTAGATGGGATGAGTTAAACTGATAAGGAATTTGGCCCTCCCCAGCTGAAACCTTTCTCTTTTTGTATTACTACTCACTTCTCAAAGAACCAAGATGTCTTCAGCTGATGTAATCTTGCCCTTGAGCATCACAGTATCATGGGACTATTGAGGCCTCAGACAGCCCTAGTTATAATTTAATTGTGAAATGATTTTTTCCCCAAAATTACATAGAATGGCTCTCAACAGAGAAGGAAATGATGAAATGTTCTTATCCATTGGTCTCAGACCCTTAGGGCTTGATGCAGGCTCATAGCTTTCCACAGTGCTGAACTGGCAGTGTCAGCTCAGAGGAGGAGGGGAGCTCTAGAGCAGCTGGAGAGGACCAGAGCCTGAACCTGGACCTTCAACCTATTACCTTTGACCCCACTTTACTTTTAGAATGGCAGCCCGAAAAAGCCCAAGATCATGCATTAGATTAGGGTTCTGGGTGAGGATGTGGTAGCTGTGTTTTGTCACAAAGTGTAAAGTGAATTATCAGCTATAGAAGTCTGTTGGTTGGATTTATGTGAAAAATATTGATGGACACTTGGGCTCAATTAATGTGGGCCAAGTAGCAGAGAGTGCCTTGAATCCAAGGCAACAGGACTGTGGGTCTCCAGTTTGGGGCTTGAGCTTGAAGTTTCTCTTGCCTTGTAAGATCCTGGCTTTACACCATATCCTGAGGACAGCACTTGGACAATGCCCCAAAGAAATGGTCCTCTCTATATTTTTCAATCATCATTCTCAATTCCAGAGCTAACTCCATCTGTTAATCCCACTCTTGTCTAGTAAGGGAAGTTCGGAAGTTCCTCCCAGCCTGAGTCTTCTCCAAGTCTGGTGTTCACCTCCATCTACACAGGACCTGGACATCTGCCTGTGCACTCTTCCTGTTCACTGAGTGCACCCTTTGTGCCTAGCCCCATGCTGGGTACTGGTGATATGAACACTAAGGGGCCTTCTGGATGGCCTGGAGGAGATGGACTGAAGGTCTAGGACAGTGCTGGTGAACCTATGACATGCGTTCTGGAGTGGGCTATTTGTTATCATTGAAAGCTCTAAAAGGTTCACCATCACTGGCCTAGAACTACCATGAAGTGAGTGTCTATGCTTTGCTAAAAAGGAGAGGAACACAGAGAGGAAGTAACTCACTTGAAGGGCTGAGTAAAGGAAGGAAGTTTGAGCTGTTCAAGGAGCTAACTACGTCCACAAGGGAGAGACTTAGAGGAAGAAGGAACTCTAGGAGGAAAGGCTGATCTTTGTCCCAAGGCTGGCAAAGCAAGACAGGGAGATGGTAAAGGGTGTGGAATAACATCCACTCACACTTTTTTTTTTGGTACCAGGGATTGAACTCGGGACCTTGAGCTTAGCGAGGCAGGCACCAGAACCACTGAGCTAAATCTCCGGCCCCCACTCACACTTTATCATATCAAAACTTACTAGGAAGCTACAGGAATCAAGGCAGTGTAATACTGGGTTAAAGAGACACATAAATTGTGGAATAGAATTGAGAGTCTAGAAATACACCTAAACATTTTCAGTCCATTCTTTTTTGACAAGAATATAAAGACAATTTAATGGGGGAAAGAATAGTCCTTTCATCAAGTGATGCGGGGACAGCTGAATATTCACAAGCAAAAGAAGGAAGTTGGACTTCTCCCTCAAACCATATACAATGATAAAAGTAACAAAAGGGTAAAACTACCCTGGAACTAAAATCTATAAAACTCTTAGAAGAAAATCTTGGTGATTTTTAAGCAGAAGCAACAAAAGAAAAAAAAGGAGAAATTGGACTTCATCAGAATTAGTAGAGACAGTTCACAGAATGGGAGAAAATATTTACAAATCATCTATCTGATAAGAGACTGCTATCTAGAATAAGAACTCTTTCAATGCTGTGATAGAAAAGTCAATCCAATTTGTAAATTTTAGAAATGGGAAAAAGCCAGGGGTGGTGATACACACCTGTAATTCCAGCACTCTGAGAGGAGGAGCCAGAAGAATTAAAGTTCAAGCCTAGCCTGGATAATTTAGCCATACCCTGTCTCAGGCTTAAACAAAAAATGAAAAGGGCTGGGGATATAGCTTAGTGTGAAGACCCTTTGTTCAATCCCAAATACCATAAAAACAAAACAAATAAAATGGGGGAAATCCTAATAGACATTTTTCCAAAGAAGATACACAAACAGCCGTAAGTACTTGAAAAATGCTCAACATCCTTAGTCATCAGGGAAATTCTAGTGGAAACCACCACTTACCACTTCAAACTTGGTAGAATGGCTTAAGTGGAAAAAACAGTTTAACAATAAGTTTCTTTAGGATGAGAAGAAATTGGAACCCTCACAAAATGCTAGTGGAGTTGTAAATTGGTACAGGTCCTCTTTAAAACTCTTGGTCAGTTTCCCAAAAGGCATAAAAATACCATATGACTCAGCAATTCCACTCTTAGGCAAATGTCCGAAGAAGTGAAAACATATGGCTAAATACAGAGTTATATGTGAATAGTCACAGCAGCATTATGCAGGATTGTCAAAAAGTAGAAACAACCCAAATGCCCATTTGATGAAGAATTGGTAAATATAGTTTAACCACACAATAGAATATTATTTGGCCATAAAAAAGATTGAATGATTGACACATGCTACAACACAAATAACCTGCGAACAAAGAACAAGCAAAAGAAGCCAGTTGTAGAGGTCACACATTGTCTAATTCCATCCACATGAAATGTGCAGAAGAAGGAAATCTATAGAAAGTAGATTAGTGTTTTCCAAGACAGAGGGAGGAACAATGAGAAGTGGCTCCTAAGGGTTCAAGGCTTCTTTTTTGGAGCCATGGAAATGTTCTACCACAGACGGAGAGCATGGTCACACAACTCTGTGACTGTACAAAGAGCCCCTGATTGTGCACTTATACAGGGGACTGTCTGGCACATGAATTCAACCCTAATGAGGCTTCCAATCGCCTTTAGTCAGCAGATGACATGGACTGGATTGGGTCTCCTGTGTCAGTTGCCAGACACCTGACTACAATGACAAATCAGACTCAGGCAGCCCCCTTGAGATGCTGCCCAGGGTGAGATGCATCCCGAGGTACGTGTGGAGGACTGTGGGAGCCAGAGAGAAACTCTTCAGATGGTCTGGGAACAAGTAGGGAAGGCTCCCTAGAGGAAGGGAGAGGTCAACACCCCAGGAGTGACCAAATGAAATTCCAAGACGGAGAATTCCTGTTTTCTCGTCCCCTGCTATTGGAAAGTTGGCCCAGAATAAGGTGTCCAGATCAACATGTGTTCCATGTGCTACCTATTTTAGGACATAGTTATGTTTCCTGCTCCCAGCTGTGTGCTATGGGGAATAAATCTACAGTCCCAGCACCGTGGGACTAAGCACTCTGAAGGTGACTGACCGAGGGTTTCCCAGAGAGGCCCTGCTGACGCAGCCTGGAGAACTATTTCATTCATGACTGGGCTTACTGATATTTCTTTGTTCTTGGGTGTGGACACTTCTAAATATACCTTGAACCATCCATCCACCCACCCACTAATCCATCCATCTGTCCTTCCATCCATCCACCCACCCATCATCCATCTACTCATCCATCCATCAATCCTTCCATCCATCGACCCCCCCATCCACCCATCCACCCACCAATGCATCCATCCATCCATTCATCCCTCCTTGCCTGCCTCCCTCTCCACCTCCACTGAACCTACTACATCACAGCATCATGTCAGGTGGGCTCCTGGCGCACACCCCGCCCCTTCTCTGCAGTCCACTTGCTTTCAGCAGCTGGGGGGCTGTTTCAAAGCACCTCCACCTTCAAACCCTTCTAGTGATTCCCACAGCCCTTAAGATGAAGCCTGCTCCCCAGGCAGTTCACATGTGCAGCCTGGGGTACAAACCTGACCACCACCTCAACAGCACATGGCAGACAGTGGGAAAGGGACTACTACACTCCTACCTGGTCCAGAGTAGGAACTCCAGTAAGTAGAATCCAATGGCATAGTCCCAAAACCAGTTGGCCGAAGAGGAGGGGGGCTGGGAAGGAAAATTTGTCATCAGTTTGGTACTGTCAGTCAGGGCTGAGCTGCCTCCTGACATGTGCATCCTAGCGTCATCAGACAGAGAGATGTGTTCCAGGTATGGCTTCCTAAGGAAGGAGAGAGGGGCAACCCACCTACCAGGATAGCTGACACCCCCCTTACATCTGGGCTGTCCCTGGCCACACCCTCACATGTCCCCACCTGAGGACACACCGGATGCCCATTGGCCCCCTTCTTTCTGCTCTCTGGCCCAAATGCATCTCTCCTGGTTCTCAGTGATGTTCCCACCACACTGACCCTCAGGACATCGAGTATCAGCCATTCTGGGAGCCAGCAGGGTGTGGGGACCATGGGTTTGTGGGGTGGGGAAGGCATATGCTGGTCACAGCCACCACCTGCTCCAGATGCTGAGTGAGGTTGGCCATGCCTTTGGCTACCTTGTTAGTGTGGTCCTGGTAGATGACGCTGACGTTCTCGCTGTGTGGGAACCACAGGAAGCGGAAGTACTCGGACTTCTTCAGATGGCTGTCCAGGTTGTCGAGGACCTGGCCCGGCAAGAGGAAAGTGGGGAGATTGTGTTGGTCACAGGAAGATGATGAATGCTGGTAGTCAAGGCCCAGATGTGCCTCAGTTTCTCTTCACCAAAAAACCCCCCCAAAACCTTAAAATTGTCCTAACATTGCCAAATGGCAAAGAATGGGTCTTAAAATACACAGGCCATTAAAATGGTCCATGTACATATTCACTTCCCTAAGGTGTGTAGAGGACATAGTGATTTCTCATTTGTCCTGGCTTAAGTAGTTACTAGCTACATGAGTTGGGGAGGTTAAATAACACTTCTGTGCCTCAACTTCTTTATCTGGGGCTAATAATACCTACCCCAGGATTATTATGAAGATTAAATGAGCTCATGGCTTGAAAGTCCTTAAAATGGCACCAGGCACATGGTAAGCACCATACAGGCATAAGCCACTGCTTCTGGTACTGCTACTCTTCTGTTGCTGTCACTGTCATTGCCATCATCATCATCAATACTTAGCATTAATTAATGAAATGAGCAGGAGAGTCCTGCCCTACTCTGCCTCCATCCTGAGCACACTGAGATAGCATCACTGAGCAAAGCCTGTCTCCCTAAGACCCAAGCAGATCTGGGACAAGTTGGAGCCAAAGCAGAGATAGATTTTGGGGTTGACAGGAAGCTGTGGGATTGGGAAGAGCACTGGTCATAGAGTAAATTCTGGATTCAAGTCCAGAGTCCCAGCAGTCAGTGTCCTTCTGGTTCTGGTTCCCGGGAGAGGGGTTGTCCCTCAAATTTGGAGTTGCGGTGCTATTGAAATGGCTTTTGAGAATTGGTTACCAGCCTTGTGGGCCAAAGCAGAGGGCTTCATGTCTTTGGCTGGGACAGTCACCAGCAGATGACCACCCAAGAGGATGGGGAGCTTCAGCATGACAAAGCTGGTGTGTCACTGGGACCAATCCTACTCCTTGGGGAATGGGAGGTGACGCAGGCAGCCAGCTGCACACATCGTATCTTGTTATGGCTTGGTGGCATAAAGGGCAAAAGGGTGACAATGATTTATAAAGTTCCCATGTCTTCTAACTGGCTTGACTGTGTACTAGAATCAGCCATGAATCAACACTGCTGTTGTCCTAAAATGGCACGAAGGCAAATGCGGCTTCAGCGTGGTCTTCACAAACATGAACTGGGACGCGGACTTCACCTTCCCAACCTGTGTCCTAAAGCACCAAATTTCAACACTTTACGGCCCGAGAATGACCCCTTCCCTTTCTTGGGCTTTGAGCAGCATTCAGATAACATGTCTTTAAGAGGACCAGTATTGGGGAGCACAGGACTGGATCTGAGATGGACCCCATATGGGATGGGTGGGAGGAAGCAGACAAAATCTCAGAAAAGGGTGGGACTCCGAATCCGTTCTGGTCCAGCTGAGCATTGAGTCCCCTGGACTAAACACTGCTATGTGCCTTGTGGGCTGGGAGCAAAGCTGCCTCGGGGATCTCTGCCCTCCTAAGTCGACTGCCCAGCAGCATGAGGAGGAGTGCGGGTGGACAGGTGGTTTGTGAGCAAAACAGGGGTGAGCAGCCCATGCAGCCTGGGGACCCGGGATCCATACTCCCTCAGCAGAGTCGGGAGGCTGGTGTCCCCCACACATGTCAGAGAGGCGCTGGAGGGGCCTCTCCCTGAGTGTGAGGGGCAGAGAGGTCAGAGGATCCACACCCAGTGCTTCCTTGAAGGGTGAAGGAGTCAGCAGAGGAGTGGGAGGGGTGAAAAACCATGGGCACAAGGCCCAAGAACTTCCATGGGCTGCCCCAGAGGCGGAACAAGTACCCCAGGCACAGCCTCTGTCCAGGTGGGGACAAGGAGGCAGGAAGTAGTTTTGCACTGGCTCGCAGATGTCAGAGCTCAAAGGGACCTCAGGAAACTTCGAGCCCAGGCTCGCTTCCCAGACTGCGAAAGTGAAGCCCAGAGTTTGGGGCACTGAGCCAGGTCAAACTCAGGAGGCAGCATGGCCAGGCTTTTGGGCTGCCTCTCTCCCCTGAACCTCTTCCCTCCACCTTGCCGAGAGTTTCTGATCGTGCGTGCGTGCATGTGTGTGTGTGTGTGCGTGTGTGTGTGTGTGTAAGTGTGCACCCATACCTATCTGTTCTGTCTTTTGGGGCGGAGATTTTAACTGCTATTTCTCATGTGCCCTCCTCACACAGTCAAAGCAATTGGAAGCTTTGTAAAGAACGTGGGCCACTGCTTTAAAGTCACTAAGTCTTCAAGGCTGTCGAGTCTAAGTGAGAAGTCTCCACGTTGCCCTGTGTTGGAGACAGCAGCCTGGAAAGACGTTCAGCTGATGTGTGTGCATGTGTGGGTATCTAAGAGTGCATATGCATGTACACACATGTGCACACGTGTGAATATGCACGTGCGTGTATGTGCTTGCATGTGCTCGGTGCATGCTGCAGTGGGGGAGGCAGCCCAAGATCAGGCTCAAATAGAAGCAGGACTCGGCTGCAATCTCTGCCGGGTCAGAGGAGGAGCAGAGGGCAGGCCAGGTGGCAGAGGACTGGCCAGTGCCCAGCTCAGGTGGCCAAAGCCAATCCTCCAGCAAAAAGAAGCAAGCCCTTGATCTCCAGGTCAAAATCTGCAGCCTGAAAATCAGTAAGTTCTCGCTCAAGTGAGGCAGGAAGAGGGAATTCAACAGCTGGGCAGGACCGCAGCTGCTGGGCAGTGGCCACGCTGCCCGTCTCTTCCTGGTGTGTGACGTCCATTTACGCCTTAGCCTGCCCAGTGCCCACTGACCCGCTCTCACTGAGGTCAGCAAAGCCCCTACCGACCCGCTTCCCTGCAGCTCTGGACTCCAGGCCTCTCCGTGGACACCCAGCGCCCGTGGGCCGCACACCTCCCTCTCCTTGGTGTCCACTGCTGTCCACCCGCCCCCCTCCCATCCTCTGAGGCCCCTGCTTTTCCTGCCACTGCCTGGGAGGCCGGTGACCTCTATTAGAGGCTGAGCCGTGTCCCCTCAAATCCCCTCCTAGCCCCAGTTCCTCAGAAAGTGACTATTTGGAAACAGGACCTCCAAGCAGGCCAGTCCTGGACACTCCCCGGGGACAGTCACGCATGCTCGGCTCCTGTACAGGTACCCCCACCCCCCGCCACCTGCCCTAGGGTCCTGGCCCTTGTGTCCCCCAGGCTGAGGAAGGGTTGTCAAGGCCACACACCCTGAACTCCCCCGAGGCCGAGCAGTGGCCCGCGGGACCGGTACCTCTTTCAGGGTGGAGGGGAAGGACGTCTCCTGCAGGTGGAACTGCGGCACGCACTGCAGGGTGACCGTGAGGACCACGCCCAGGCAGCCCAGGTGCACGCGCGCAGCCTGGAACAGCTCGGGGTGGCTGGACGCGGAGCACTCCAGAACGGCCCCGTCTGCTGTCATCAGCGTCAGCGCCACCACCTGGCGGAGGGGGAGCCCCACTCAGCCGCGCTCCGCCAGAGGCAGTGGGCAGCACCCCTTCCCCGAGAACCCCGGGCCCTGGGATACCCCAGGGGAGGAGAGAGAAAGGGAGAGAGGAAGATGAGGGAGCGTCTGGGTGGGCGACATGGGACCCTGCTGGCTGGGCTTGTCCTCCGGGAACTACTGCCTCACTCATTCAGTGGCCTCACAGTCATTGATCGGCCCCTGCGCGCGAAGTCTGAGCCCGGCTGGGCTGCGAAGAGCCAGGTGTGGTGGCGCATGTTTGCAATCCTAGCATCTGGTAGGCTGAGGCAGGAAGATTGCAAGTCTGGGTCCTGCTGGAGCCACTTAGCAACTTAGCCAGACCCTTTCTCAAAATGAAAAAATAAAAGGGCGGGCTGGGGATGCAGCTGTACCAAGGTCCTGAGTTCGATCCCAGTGCAAAAAGAAAAAGAACAAAGAGTTGGAGGTAGGGTTTAGGACCCGGCGGCGGGAGCCTCTGGGTCAGCCCAGCCCTGCGGTCCCTACTCTTCCCGCGCCAGTCCGCCCTCGCTGCATCCGGGGAACATTGCCCTTCGGCGTCTTCTAAGGAGCCAGCTCCCCCTGCTGGCCACCTCGTGCGGACTCCGAGGGTTTCGGCCGGCGGTGGGAAGCACAGGGGAACCCGACCTGCAGTCTCTGCACGCGAGCGCGCTGCCTTTGGCCTCATTCAGCGTCTCCACCGCCTGCTGCCTGCTCTTTGGAGGGAAATTGCTTCTGACAAGTGTAACGCGCGGCCGGGAGTGCAGGGCGGGAGAAGAGCTCCAGCCAGACTGATTCTGAATAACAGTGACCTGAGACCAGGGAAGAGGAGAGTGAGGTTGTCACCGTGATTTCTACAAAAGCCAGATCCCTCTGGGATCCGGAGGAGCGGGGAGTGAGAACGGGCTGGGAGGTGTTTCACTCGGGTCTGGAGCCCGCGCAGGGTGGGCACTGTTCGCAGGGCTGTGTGGCCTTGGGCATGTGCTCCAGCATCTCTGTTTCCTCCTCTGTGACGCCAGGAGAGTAGTGACAGCTCTCTCAGGAGTAGTGAGGATCCACTGAGGATATGTCAAGCACGCAGCTAGCTGTGTGGGGCCCGGCAGACACCAGAGATGAGTGTTGGCTGTCACTGATGGAAGGTGCAAAATCAGGGATTTCGATAAACTGCCGCTCAGAATTACTAGATGTGATAGAGATATGCAGTGAATGTTTGAATTCTAAAGATTGATTACAATAAGAGGGATGTGTCAGGCACCCCCTCTAAATAACCCACACACACTTCAAACACGCTTGTCCCTTCATGCTGGGCGCTTTCTGAAGCAGTTCTGGACGTCTCGAGTGTCTTTAGGAAGTGTAGTACAGCCAGTGCCGCCGCCAGGTGCCAGCGGACAGAAAGGCGGGCCTGGAAAGACATGGCGGCGTGCCCTCCTCCACTCATTCACTGAATCTGGCACCGTGGGATTCCTGGGTCTTCCCCGAAGCCAAACTGACCACAGAAGGCAAACACTTTGACTCCATTCAGGACCTCGGGGAGCCACAGCAGCACAGCGGAAGCCACTCATGAAGAGGACTGACAGAGCTGCTGCAGAAAGTGGTGGGGACCATGGGATATGTATGTGCAAAGCAAGGACTTGGAGAGGGATTGATGGCAAGCGATTATTTTAATCAATCAATTATTTTATAATAGTTTTCTTTTCTTTTTTTTTTGGTACAAGGGACCGAACTCGGGTCCTTGCGCTTGTGCAGCAGGCCGTGAAACCACTGAGCTAAATCCCCAGCCCTTATAATAGTTTTCTTTAAAACTTAAACATTCACCATATTTTTAGGCCATGCCTCATACTTCCACAGTGTACTGATCATGGTGTAGAAACTGAGGTGACCAGGTTGACACCAGCCCTGGGGAGTGGACCAGGACTGGTGCCAAGTCTTGGGGAGGGGCAAGGGGCAGGCAGGACGGGGGTCCATCCCCACTGACATGTGCCACGTAGAGGGCAGGTAGGGGATAGGACTATTGAGGTAGCCAGGAGCTGGGACGACTCCTGGTGGAACTCACAAAAGTGGGCTTGAGGTCCCTGCCTGGCCTTTATTGAAAAGCATCTCCTTACCTTCAGGAGGGTGTGCTTGGGGAACGGTTAAGAACACAGGCAGGGACTCAGGTATGGGAAGAGAGCCCAGCTCACCACTGACTGAGTGTGTGAGTATGGGTAGCCTTGGGCATTAGTAAAAGGAAACATCAGTCTGACTGAGAGAGAGAGAGAGAGAGAGAGAGAGGGAGAGAGAGAGGGAACCACAAGGTGGCACAGTGGTGGCTGCAGTGTCAGTCAGTCCAGGGGACGCCTGCCTCAGAAGCTGCCCTCCTGGTCACAGGCACCTCTTACCTCCTGTGGCGTCTCAGGAGGAGCCTGAAGCCCACAAATGTGGAGTCCTGCACGGACACTGCTCTCTCCTCCTCAGAGAGCCCAGTGGTACTTGGGGGTGAACATGGCACCAGAGGCCCCCCCATCTTGGCTCCAGACACTCGGGGGAGCGAGGCCTTGGTGACTGTTAGAACATCCACAGGAGGAAATGGGGGTCCTGGGGGCACCTGCCTTGTCCCCATCCACTACAGGGGGATGATGCTGCACCCACCCTGCCAGGGAGCCAGGGACTCACCTGGGTGGCCAAGATACCGTGCTTGATGCCAGTGTTGTGCGTCCCAGAGCCGATGACACCAGCTGCCGTCACGTCGGACACGGCTCCCAGGCTGGGCTCCGAGAGAGGGAGGGAGAGGGATACCAGACTCCAGTTAGGCTTCTGAGGACAACAGACGCCCTGCATTGAGTTTGGAGCCCACATCCCTCAACCTGGGGCTCCAGATTAAGGCCCGCAGGCTCTGTGTGTACAGGGCCGGCCCCTGAGAGGAGGCACATTGTGGGGCGGGGGAGTGGAGTCAGAAAGACACTTCCGGATCTCAGGGCCAAGGACAAAGAGCAGATGACTTCCTAGGACCAGGGCACAGATATTCACTGGGGCACCCCAGAGCAGTCCCTGGTAGCCTGGGCACCCATGTTCACGTGCAGAAGTGGCCGGCCGGGCCTCCCACGTGGAAAGGAAGGTGGGGAGCTGACCCGAACCTGGGCTCCGGGTCGGTGGAAGACACCAGGCTGTGCACTGCTTAGTTCCAAGGCGGTTTGATAAAGAACAGAAAATCTGGCCCCTACCTTGCTGGGGACACATGACACCTGGGACCGCCCCCACAGACAGCAAGAAGAGAGGGAAAGTCACTGTCTACCCCTCCTGTTCCTGTCTCTCTGTCCATGATGACTGGGTTAGCTGGTGATTTTTGTCCCTTATGCAAACACCATAATGTTTAAGAAAACAAACCAGGGTCAGAAGCTTGGCATAGTGTGGTCCACACCTGTGGTTTTAGACTCTGTGAGGCTGAGGCAGGAGGATTGCGAGTTTGGACCTAGCCTGGGCAACTTAGTGGCTGCATGAGACCCTGCTTCAAAATGAAAAAATAATTTTTACAACGGTTGCGGAGGTAGCTCAGTGGGAAGGCCCTGGGTTCAACCCCTAGTACTGCCCCTCCAAAAAAAGGGGGGCACCATAGAAATTCTGCTCTAAGAGAGATGCTAGTGCATGGGCAGGCACTTTCCGGAAGATGCTCCCCACTTCGTTATTTATAATGACCCAAAGGCCCACAGACGGGGGTGGTTAATCCAACCTAACTTAGCTTCTCCAGCGGCTACAGAGGACTATGGCATGCTCAGGGGCACTCTGGAAGAGGCAGTGAGAGGGAGGCCCTCGCCTGGGGCATGGATGGAGAGCAGGGTGAGGGGGTGGCAGTAACCCAAGGGGAAGGTCGGGTCCAAGTCGGGGAGAAGGACTGGGCCATGCTCGCTGACCTCATGACAGGACGAGGGGCCTCCTGGATTCCTCGGGCCTGCTGGGCACCCCGAGCTACTGACCCAGCCCCACACGGCACCCAGGGTGTGACTTTGGTGGCCCTGCTGCCTCCAGCCTCGGTTTCCTCATCTGCTAAGGGGGTCACGGCTCCTGCCCTGTAGGCAGTCAGGAGGGCGGGGCACAGGGACATCACACAGGGCCTCAGAGCTCCGGCCCGAGGCCAAGGCCTGTAGTTACTAAGAGACTTCATCAGGCTCCGTCCCTGCACCTGCTCTAGGCTTTTTCACAGCTGCCTGTCACCCAGCTGGCTTTGGGTCTTGCTGCTCCAGCTGCCCGGAGTCCCCTCTTCCTGTCTCAGCTGCTTGTCTGCCCTGCACCCTCGGCTGCTACTGCACCTACTATCTGTACTATGCTGGTTGGTTTCTGTGTCTGTCGTCCCCTTCAGGGACTTCCTTGTCACCGGAGTCTGGGTTTTTTCTGTCTTTGTGTCTTCGGGGCCTGAACCCAGCCTGCACACGAGGGACACTGTAATTGTGTGAGATTCCATGACGAGTAGGAAGGTAGCAACTGACGATTTCCATGGTAAGACAGCTGAGGTGAACAGACCACCTACACTCAAAGACCAACCACGGCTTCTGTCTCTAGCTCTAATGTCCTTGCTAAACCAACATTCAAAGCATCTGTCACCTCTTTCTAATAGTTGAAATTCATTCCTTTGGCTGCATTTGACTTTTGCATCGAAGCAATTTCCTTCATCCTAAACCCGGTGATGGAAGGACAAGTGGAACCCTGGATCGCCACGCCAGGGAGCCCTGGGGCTCATTCATGTCCTTCTGCGCCTCTCTGTACTTAATTTGTGTGCCTCTGTGTTTTGCTCCCCATTTATTGCTATTTCTCAGAAAGACTTAATCCATAATAGTCTCACCCACGTTCAAGATTTCTTTACTGCTTAGCTCAACTCTGGGCTCTTTCTTTCCATTCTCACCCAAGGGCCCAAACCCGTGTGGAAGAGGAGACAGGCACCACTCCAAGGAGGGCAGCAGAGAGAGGGGCGCATCCTAAGAAGGGCTCCTCTCTGCTCCCTAGGAATGGGGGACGGAGGGGCGGATCCCTTACTTGGACAGGGCCAGGCCGTGCCTGTCCAGCTGCGGGTGCAGCTCCGCCAACAGGATGCCAGCCTCCACCGTCACCTGCTTCTTCTCCGTGTCCACCTGCGGGAGACCAGCGCGGGCTGGAGGGGCCAGAGTCCGCCCCACCTCAGCCGCCTGACTGCGCGGGGGGCGCCAAAGGCTAAGGATTGAGAGGGCAGGGCAGACACTCGGTTTGTTGGTCTGTGCGGAGCTGCTGAGTCCTGAGGTGGTAGGCACAGCCCTGGGGGATAGGAAGTCTGCACTTCACAGGATCGGGCCGGGATGGGGCCTGGAAGTCACTTGCTCAAGGTCACGCTAAGACCAGGGCGAAATGAGCCCAGAGCGCACGTCCCTGACTGCGGGGCGTAGCGCAGGCCTGGAGCGCGGAGCTCGGGATCAATCGAGGAGCCCGGCTGTGCTAAACAGCAGCCAGAGGTAGTCACAGACGCGACTGAGGTTCTGTAAGAGGCAGAGACTTTGCCCTAGCAAAGAAGGGAGATCTCAGAGGAATCCAGAGCCTTGCGCTGCGCTGGGAAAAATCACAGCTCAGTGCAGTAGGCCCAGTAGGTGAGACCCGAGTCTGAGTCGCTGGCAGGCACTGCCTGCTGGCTGAATCGCTCTGATGCATCCCCGCTATAGATCGGGCCTGTGCCCAGCTTTGCTGTCCTTTGGCTGTGTGACCCCAGGCAAGTCGTTGACCCTCTCTGATCTTTTCTCCATCTGTAAAACTAGCCAAGTGTCACTTTGCTCGCATCTGGCTTTATCACTGTGAGTCTACCTTTCGGGGGCCTGATTGGCCATTTCTGCAGTTGCAGAGAGGGGCCAGGCTGACCTGACTTGAGGCACGAGCAAGCCCAGGCAGGGTTCAGGTGAGGGGTGCTCAAGGGCAGCCCAAGAAGCGGAACGTTGCCTTGGAAGCTCTGGGGAGGGCAGAGGTGGCGCTGAGGGCTGCAGTACCTGGAGGACCCGGTTCATCTTGCCCATGTGGATCATGAAGCCGTCGGTGCAGGCGATGTCCGAGGGGGAGTGGCCTCCGCCCACCACCTTCACGCGCTTGTTCTGCTGCCTGGCCAGGGTCAGCACCTGCGCCAGGATGACCTGAGTCAGGCCTTTTCTGGGGGAGGCCGGAGGGTGGGCAGGGGCCTGGCCCGGCTGCAGGGGTTGCTGGGGGCTCACTGAGGCACCAGGCTGCTCAGAGGTGGGCCTGGAAGGGCCAGGGCAGAAGGCCAAAGGGCCTCCTACTGTACTGCGTGGATCTGGTTCATCCTCCCCCGGACTTTCAAATGCAGACCCAATCACAGTCCCGTCCCACGCAAAGCCTTCCGGTGTCCGTGTGCGTGTGTATGTGGTGTGCGTGTCTGTGTGCACTGCAGCAGGTGCGGCCCGGCGGCCCCAGCCCATGACTGTGCGGACTGGAGTGGGCATGGGAAGTCATGGCAGCGGCAGGTAGACCTGGCTTTGGCTGAGTTCACAGAGCTCTCCCCAGCCAGCAGTTCTGAGCCCCAGGAAGCTCCATTTCTAGCCTCCTCCTGGGGCCAGGGCAGTCCCTGGGCCTGGCGTGGAGTTGGTACTCACCTCCCGGATCTCCTCCACGGACGAGGGCTGATAGTACATCTCCGGGCAGCAGCCATATGTTCTGGCCCAGTTTTGGAACTGGAAGCCTTTGTGTCCGTGGACCTGTGCAGGAAAGCAGCCAGGTCTCAGCACGGAGGCAGCCACATGCCATCCTCGTTCCACTTCTGGTCCTGCCATTACCCCCACAGCCCCCCTTTTCAAGAGAGAGGCTGAGGCGGCCACACTGAGCCTTGGGCTTCTCTACCCCAGTCTGCTCTGGGTCAGGGCCAGAGGGATGAGCGGACAGCACCAGAGAGTTGGGAGCTGAGAGTCCATGCGCAGGGCCTCCTCTTCTCTCCCTTGACCCCACCTGCTCGGTGGGCAGATGGCACAGAGAATTCTGCCTATTCTTAGGCGGAGGGGATGGGTGAGAGCAAGGATGGAGCCTGAGCAGGCAGGACTTGGGCCGAGGAGCACAGCAGAGGGGTGCTGTACTGGAGGTGGCCAAGAGGGACCGCAGATCTGGCCTCAGCTTTCCCCCCAGGCCTGTCCAGCAGGGAAGAGGCCTGTCTGGGGCCCTGGGGCAGTGCAGCAGGGTGGCCTCTCGCCCAGGGCGTGGAGCCCTGGGGATGAGACTTCCGTCTGTCAGCAGATGACCTCTGCTTCCTGTCTTATTTGGGCCTTACAGCGGTGACACGAAACAAGTGCTATGATCCTCATTATCAGCAGCTAAAACTGAGGCTCGGTGACCACCTGACAAGGGCGCAAGAGTCCGGCACAGGCCTCGCTGTCCCACACAGCTCTCAGCACCGCAGCTCCTCCCCAGAGCCTCAAGCAAGCATCAAGAAGCCCCACGGCCTTGCCCACAGCCCCACATCTGACTCAATGTTGTCCCTGTACCGGATTCATAGGCCCGGCCTGGCCACACCATGGGCCCCTTACCATGGCTACAGCACTTGGTGGCCTCAGCTGGGTCTGACTTTCTTGGGCAACTGACCCAGAGCAGCAGGAGCACAGAAGCAGCAGGCGTGGTGATGGGTGGCTCAGCAAAATCTGCAGTGCTGACACACACGAGTAGGGGCTATGGGGAGCAGCAGGTCAGGGAGCAGAGTGGGGCCAGGCTCCACCCACAGGAATAAGACAGGGACAGGGTAAACAGCTCAGGCCCTGCCCCTGCCCCTGCCTGGGAGCCCCTGACTGGCAGAGAGGGGCAAAGCAGATTTAAGAGGTGCCTGCTCTGTTTCTGGAAGCTGCCTGAGCTCTGATCCTGGCTCTAGGGATTCTAGAGCCAAAGGACACTCCCAGCTGCAGAGCTGCATCCTCACCCTGTGGTCAGGGAAGCCCCTTGTATAACCAGAGGGCGCGAGCTCACTGTCAGACCTGGGGGTGGTGGTGAATGAACAAAGTTGCTCCACTGTTTTTTGTTTTGTTTTGTCTTGTTTTTTTTTGGTAGCGAGGATTGAACTCGGGTCCTTAGCTTTCGAGGCAGGCGGTGGAACCACTGAGCTAAATCCCCAGCCCTAAAGTTGCTCTACTGTTAAGGAGACAGAACAGGGCTCAGGGGCCTGAGGGCTGGGGACTGTCTTCTGGCAGCCCTCTTCTCTGTGCTGGGGGCAGAGGAAGGCTTCAGGCAGGGTACACACACTGAAGCTCCCAGTCCAGGCTTCACCAGGCAACCCAGAATCTCAGTTTTCTTCACGCCAACATGCAGGTTACAGTGGCCATAGAAAGAAGCACTCAGCCTAGATGAGTCAGTACTTGGAAGGAAAAGAAACTGAGCGCTTCCCCCACACCCCATGCTTCCCACATCAATGGCATAAATTACTTTTACCGAGGAAAAATCAAATTACATCAGAAGAAATTTTAAAAATCAGCAAAAATGGTACACATCAGTTATTTTGATTTGTGTTACTGCCGTTTGATGACTGAGGTCCAGGGCTCATTATTTCTTCTGCTCTGAAGGACTCAGCTTATTTTATCATTGCTGAGGCTTAATTTTTTAAAACATTCATCAACAAGGAAATCAATGTTCTGCTTCAGCAGTCACTGAAGAGCTCGAGTGTAAATCTTTACCTGTCCCAGACTTGCTCATCCATGAGAATGAATTTCTTTGTATTACATTGGCACCCAGGAACTGGACACATTTTTTTTCAACATACCTATCTTACTGTCAACACTTTGAGGGATATTTCATGATTACTTCCTGGTCCTATTCAGTCAGGTAATTTTCTCTAAAATATGACAAAGGGCGTAAAGTTCGTTAACACTCATCAGACAAGTAAGCTGAGACTCCCTACAGCAACTCATGTTATTCAGAGTTGTTTTTCCATCTGAATCCTGGACAACTGAAGGAGAGGATGAAAAAATATTTGCTGTCAAATGTTTTCTGATGAAAGCTATGCTGGCTTGTTAATTGAAACACCCACCCATTTGTGAGATCCGATTACAGCGAAGAATCAGTGGCAGCCTTCTTCGTTATGATGAATGCACGACCTGTGTGTCATCCCTGGTCATGATGCTGATTTATGGAGTGCAGTCCCCCTGCCAGAAGCAGCTGCCATTCAGCTCAGCGATGCAGGTCAATGTTTGGAGGGACCTGCAGGGCATGGACAGGGCTTTGTCCTGAAATCATCTTTAAAAGAGCAAACAGATGCCAAAAGGGTCAGAAAAAGATCAAAGAGGGCAGAAAGGTAAACCTGTCTACCCACATAAAAGTCCATCAGACCGACCACATGAATGGGATAAAGGTGAAGGCCAGAAAGGGTGGAGATCAGAGTGTCTGGTTTTGTGCCCAGCTGATACTATCAAGTCCTAATTTAGAGAAGATAAGGCTGTACCTTTTATCTCACAGAACAAAGACAGAGGTCTTGTCTGCCCAGCTGGACAGGCCCTAGAATCATTATACTCCAATGTAGTGGGCTGAATTATGCCCCTCCTAAAAGATATGTCCAAGTTTGAACTCCAGTTCCTATGACATAATTTGGAAATAGGGCTTTAGCAGATGTAATTAAGGATCTGAAGATGATATCATTTTGGATTTAGGGCAGAACCCAAGCACAATGACTGGTGTCCTTTTCAGAAAAGAAAGGAGATTTGTTACTAAGAGAGACACTGAAGGGAAGGCCACATGAAGACAGACAGAAATTGGGGTGATGTGGCTGTAAGTTATAGATTGCTCAGGATTTCTGGCTGGGAGAGAGGCATAGGATGGATTCTCCCCCAGAGCTCCCTGAAGGAACCAGCACTGTCCACCCCTTGACTTTAGACTTCTGGTCTCTAGAACTATGGGAGAACAAATTTCTGCCAGATTAGCCTCCAAGTTTGTGGCAACTTATTGTGGCAGCCAAAGGACACTAACAGATTTCCTCAAGGTGCATCTGGATTTGGGAATGAGGGGAGTGAGTGAGGAAGAAAAGGCGCTCGAGGGGCCCTGGCTTTCCCCAGGAGCAGCAGGATAGCAGAGGTGCTGCTATACAGTGTGGGGGTCTGGAGGGTCTCTGCAGCCCAAGCACCCAGATGTCTCTTCCTTCCTCCATCCTGTCCCCCTTTCCATTCCAGTTTACTCCCAGTGTATCTACTCAGCTCTACCAGAGAGCTAGGACACGACGGCGAAGAACAAGCGGTGTCTGGACTCATTTGCCAGCAGTGGGAGGGCCTATGCCTGCTCCCCTCTGGGACCTCCAGGGATATCTTCCCTCCTCACCATCCCAGGAGAGTTTCTCCCCTTTAATCTTCTCTTCTTTGTCTTTCTGCCTGCAGCAGACACTGCATCTATTGTCTCTTGGCTAGACAAGGGGATAGCTGGTTAAAAGAAATTGCAGCTTCCTGCAGCCCTTCAGTGTTCGCTGCAGGAGACACAGAAGGCAGGTGGAAGATTGTGCTCATCAGAGGTTGGGACTAGCAACTGCTTCCCATTTTGTGTCCACCTCTTAGCATTTACTCACCTTCCTCTGAATCTGTGGGGGTGGACTTCTCTGAAATAAGTCAGAAGACACAGCCCAAGGTCAAAAACTCCAATAGATATAGAATCAGCAAGGCAAAATTGAACTTTACAAGTTAGATTTTTTTCTTTTAAAGACCAGATCAGATGCTTCTCTAAACTTCTTCCTACTGGGCACATAACTAATACCCAGTCCCGTCCTCAGCTCAGATGAGGTGTCAGAATACGCAGATGCTGGCCCCAGGATCTGCCCTGTGTCCTTTCCCCAAGATGCAGAGAGGAGCCACAGGTGCTGGGAACCAGATAGCAAGCCAGGCAGATGTGCTGTGCCCCCACCCCTCAGTTTCTTGCTATAAAAGACCCCTACACACCTGCAGATGGGGTTTGATTTGAGGCACATAAGGCACATAAGGCCCTTCCATCTCCTTGGAGCTAGTTTTCAATAAAGACTTTGTTCTATTTTGGAAAAGTATTTTCCCAAAATAAATGGCATCCTTTGATTTGGCAAGGAGCAGATGAACCTGACCTTCCTGAGTGGCTGGTCACAGAGAGAGGCACCAAAGTCAGGGAGAAAAGAGGGAACTGGTACCTGTGACCCTGCAGCATGGCAAGTCAGCCAGGAGAGGATCGGGAGTCAAGGCTCTGAGAGGCTCTCAAAGGATGGAAGCATGCATGTGCCCCTTGTCACCCCCTCATGCTGCTGGCTCTTCCTCACTGGGTGACACAAAGTTGGGCCAGCATTTAACAGGCAAAGACTCTCAGGTTGCCATGTGTTAGGTGCCTTGCTCAAGGTCAGAAGGATTCGAAATGGAAACTGTGCATGTGGAAGCACAGATTTCCAGCTCCCCTCCCCCAGCATTGGGTTCTTTTCATTAAAATGTAGCACTAACAAATTAAGAAAATGAGAATAAAATAATCAGGGTTTTTTCCAAGAAGGTGGAAAAATTAAAACAAGATAGTTGAGGCTTGGTGACAGGACAGCACACAGTGATGCTCTCTTTCAAAATGCATTCCTTGACTGTGAGAGCCAATAAAAATAATGTCTGGCAACAGAAGATTGGCTACACAAATCATGGTCCATCTCTATTATGGAACACTGTGGAGGCATTGAAATAATCTATGTACACAGATAGAAAATCTTTTCAAGATCCATTAAATGAAAAAGCAAATGATTTCATTTGTATTGGAGATAATATATCTGCATTCATGCACACACATGTACTTAAAAGCATATTTGAAAAGAAGTCTGGAAAATAGTAAAGTATTGATAATAACTATGAGTAGCTTCTACACAGGGACAGGAAGTTTCAATTTTTTACTTCTCAGTACTCATTTATTTTGAAAGTAGCAATCATGAATTACTTTATAATAGAAAATCTATTAAAAAATAAACCATGTAACTAATCATGGCTGTCCCTGAAGCCTGAAGGAGCTATTGTATTCTAGAGACTAAGAAAGACTCCCAGCTGTGAGAGAGAAAGAGTCATTTGCTAGTCCTTTTGGCCCTTCAGCCAAAAAAAAAAGCCTTCTCCCTGAGCACCTATAATTTCCTTTTCCCACATTTTCTCTCTTTTCCTTTGTTTGGCATGTGATTAAATACTAAAAGTATACCTGAAATCTGCCTCCAGCTTGCTATATGACTGCACGCACACACACACACACACACACACACACACACACACACACACACACGGGCATGCCACCTACTCTTCCCCCAAGGCACACACTTTGATGCATTGCTGAGGAGAGACAAAGAGGAACCAGTATCGGGAGGTAGTAAGAGGGCAGGGCTAATGGGAAATAGCAGATATGTTCTGAGTTGGGGGTCCCAGCAGCTCTGAGCTGTCCTCAAGCTAAACAAGGACATTTGAATCCTAAGACTTAAAAACTGGACCAGGTCATGCTGAACTTACTCAGCCATTTTTACTTGGCTTTGCCTCCTCCTTCTCTTTTTTTGACTACACACATGGAAAGTTTGCTTTTCCACCTCTGAGAAGGGACTAAAACATCCTTTTTTGGTTTGTACCAGACTTGCAAATTTGCAGGTAAGACAGAAAGTATGTCAGCTATGGATTCACAGGGAGCATGCAGAGTCCGTGTCTCAGTTTATCTAAGACTGGACCCTTAGGGCTCAGCAAACACATGCACAAAATGGGTTGGGGGCCACAGTGGCAGGGAGGGAGGTTTTGTTCTTGGATGAGACTCAGTAGCCTTGAGTCTAGCAGGAGACACGAAGGACTCTTCCAGGCCAGAAGGGGGCACCCTGAGGATCTGGATGGAAAAAGAGAGGTAGGAAGGAGGAGCTCTGAGCCTCTCTACAGGTGATCAGTTTGACTTACTCACCTGAATTAGGCTTA